ACCTTTGTTGTGTAGAAGCTTTTTATTAGGTTGGTGCAAAAGTAAGGTTTTGCTGTTTAAAAGAAAAAAAAAAAAGGCAAAAACCACAATTACTTTTGCACCAACCTAATAGTTCAATATAGCTCCATTTGTCTTTTTTGTTTTGTTGTCTATGCTTTTAAGTCTTAGCCATAAGATTTTTTTTTTTTTTCAGACAGGGTTTCACCATGTTGGTCAGGCTGGTCTTGAACTCCCGACCTCAGGTGATCTGCCCGACTTAGCCTCCAAAGTGCTTGGATTACAGGCGTGAGCCACTGCGCCCAGCCAGCCATAAGATTTTTGACTAAAGTCTTCCCCTCATTTTCATCTAGTAGTTTTATAGTTTGATGTTTTACATTTAAGTCTTTAATCCACTATGAGTTTTTTATTATATGATTGACAGTAGTCTAGTTTCATTCTTCTGCAGAGATATCCAGTTTTCCCAGCACTATTTATTAAAGAGGACATCCATTCCCCCATGTATGTTCTTGGTACCTCTGTCAAACTTAGTTAACTATAAATACATGGATTTACCTCTGCAATCTTCTAAAATCTTTACAGGTTTCTATATAGGACTCTAGTCTACTTAAGTGTGGCTACTTTTTAAGAGTTCAAATGGGCCGGGCGCGGTGGCTCAAGCCTGTAATCCCAGCACTTTGGGAGGCCGAGGCGGGTGGATCACGAGGTCAAGAGATTGAGACCATCCTGGTCAACATGGTGAAACCCCGTCTCTACTAAAAATACAAAAAATTAGCTGGGCATAGTGGTGCGTGCCTGTAATCCCAGCTACTCAGGAGGCTGAGGCAGGAGAATTGCCTGAACCCAGGAGACAGAGGTTGCGGTGAGCCGAGATCGCGCCATTGCACTCCAGCCTGGGTAACAAGAGCGAAACTCCGTCTCATAAAAAAAAAGAGTTCAAATGTATATCCAATGTCCCAGTAGCATTTCTTGAAAAGTTGACTCCCTCCCCATTCTGCAGAACCATGCTCACAAATCAAGTGTCTACAGATGTACAGATCTGTCTGGGGCTCTCTGTTCTGTTCCACAGATCTACCGATTAATTTAGTGTTAGAAGTCAAGACATATGATAGAGTTCTCCAACCCTGTTCTTCTTCTAAAGTGTGTTATCTACTTGATCCTATGCATGTTTATAAAAATTACAGATTCAGCTTCAAGGTATACACAGACACAACCTGTTTGATCTTGATTGGGACTGTACTATAGCTTGAAATCAACTTGGGGATACATTTACATCTTTACAATATTGTGGTTTCTAAACAATGATTACGATTTCTATTTACTTGGGTCTTCTTTAATATCTCTCAATAAAAGTTTACAATGTTCTCTGTAATGGTCATGTACACACATACTCTACTAGGTTTATTCCCAGATACTGATTCTAAGTACCTTTAGTATCATCCTTTAAACTGCTGCCAGAGTTGGATTTCTGAAACTAAAATCTTATTTGGTTTCATTGTTTAAAACATACTAATATCTCTTTCTTCCTACTTAGATAATCAAGTCTGAATTCCTCACCCCTTACCATGACACATTTGACCATAACTTATTTTTCTAGTCTCACTCTCTTATATGTATTCTACCTTCAAGATACTCCAAACATTACCAGCTGATTCCCTCTTTCATGCCTCTTGTACATGCCAGTCCCTCCAACTGGAATGATTTCCTTATCTGTCTCCTGCCGATTTCTATTAATCTTTCAAGATTAGACAAATGATGCCTTCCTAAGGCTTCCCGGTTTCCCTAAGAAGAATCAGCAGTCCCTTTCCTTCAGCTGGATTTTCAAAGACAGGTAATACGTAAACATAGAGCTAGAGTGGAATAGCATTTAAAGTAGAAGAAAAGAGTATAAACAAAGGCACTGGAGCAAAAGAATGTAAGGGATTCAATTTTGCTAAAGTATGAAAGGAAGTAGTAAGAAATAATACTGGTAAGATACACTGTTATCAAAGCACATAGTGATTTTCAGAGGGTTCCATACACAGATTTCCTAAGTTAATAAAGAGAGAGAAACAAAAGGATTTTAGATATGGTCAAACGTGTACTTTAGGAAGATTAATCTTACTGTGTTATATAAGACAAACTGATAGAGGGCAGGAGGAGGACTGAAATCTTGGAGACTAGATAGGAAACTTAGTACAGTCCAAATAAGACACAATGAAAACTGAATTAAGGAAAGAGTAAAGGAGATGAAGAGGAAGCCATAAATTAGACACCAAATAGGAAAAACTTACAGAATCTGGGAACTAAAAAGATGTGTAAGGCAGGGCATGGTGGCTCACACCCGTAATCACAGCACTTTGGGAGTCTTAGGCAGGTGGATTACTTGAACTCAGGAGTTCAAGACCAGCCTGAGCAACATGGCAAAACACTATCTCTACTAAAAATACAAAAATTAGCCAGGCATGGCGGTGCAGACCTGTAGTCCTAAGGAGGCTGAGGTGGGAGGACTGCCTGAGCCCGAGAAGCAGAAGTTGCAGTGAGCTAAGATCACGCCACTACACTCCAGCCTGGGTGACAGAGAGAGACTTCATCTCCAAAAAAAAAAAAAAAAAAAATTTGTGTAGTGAGAACATGGGAGAGAAAATCCAAGAGTTAATGGTAAAATTGCAAATGACTGAAATGACTGTAATACCATTAACAGAATTACATTTTGGTTCTGAAAAGATGACAGGAGATCAGGCGGTGATGTCTGACTGGATATTAGAAAAGTACAACTAAAGGTCAGACTACATTTAGAAACATTTACATATAGCTAAAAATTAAAATAATAGATTTTGTGGAAACTGGCAAGAAGAAAATTAAGGACAGAGCTTCGAAAACACCTATATTTAGGTGTATAGAGATAAGGGATGATTGTGTAGGATGGAAATGCAGTGATAGGACTGGAACAGTTAAGAGAATAGTATGTATTAATGAATCCCAAAGGCAAAGAATTTGTAAAGGAAAGAATGCTGCAGAGGAGGTCAAGAAGACTGAGGAGTGAGAAAATGTCTCTGTTAACAATGAGATCACTGGCTGGACACAGAGGCTCACTCATGCCTGTAATCCCAGCACTTTGGGAGGCTCAGGAGGATGGATCACCTGAGGTCAGGAGTTCAATACCAGCCAGGTGAATGTGGTAAAACCCCATCTCTACTAAAACCACAAAAAATTAACTGGGTGTGGTTGCGGGCACCAGTAATCCCAGCTACTTGGGAGGCTGAGACAGGAAAACTGCTTGAACCCAAGAGGTAGAGGCTGCAGTGAGCCAAAAATCACACCACAGCACTTCAGCTCAGGTAACAGAGCAAAACTCCATCACAGAAAAAAAAGAAATCTAATTACTGATAACCAGCAGGTAGAACAGTAATTAAGGAACAGTTTATAAAACAGAATGGAGGCATGTGAGGGGGGTTGTAAGAAGATTCTTTGGAAAATTTCAGACTACCATTTATTTAATTGAATCATTTTTTATATTTTTATTTTTTAATACATATACTTTTTTTTTTTCTTTTTTTTTTTTGAGATGGAGTCTCAATCTGTTGCCTAGGCTGGAGTGCAATGGCATAATCTCAGCTCACTGAAACCTCTGCTTCACAGGGTCAAGTGCTTCTTCTACCTTAGCCTCCTCAAGTAGCTGAGATTACAGGCATGCGCCACCATCCCTGGCTAATCTTTGTATTTTTAGTAGAAACGGGGTTTCAACATGCTGGCCAGGCTGGTCTCGAACTCCTGACCTCATGATCTGCCCACCTTGGCCTCCCAAAGTGCTGAGATTTCAGGTGTGAGCCACCGTGCCCGGACTATACATGCACTTATAATGTATATACTATATTAGTGGTTAGAGAAGATGATATATCTGGATTTCTGTTGACCTTGTTGCTATTTAGACAAACTATAATATAAATACTTCATCCAAAGGTGACAGCTGAAATTAGGTGCTCGAGTATTACAACAAAAAAATGCTTTCTGAAACATCATCTTTAGGAAATACTAACTTCAATCTCTAATAGTAAAAATATAATAATGTCTTCAGTATCCCAGCAGATTGTGCCTTGGCCACAGATTTTTTATCTGTCATAATAAACATTAATATTTGAAAAACAGAGCAAATATAAGCTTTCTGACACATCTTAATTTCCTTTACAACAGTACTAATAGAAATGAGGCAATCTACTAACTGCAAAATGGTTTTACTAATTACAAAGTTACTCTGAAATTTGAAAAAAAAGAACCTAAATTATTTTTCTAAATTACTAATTAAAAATTCAAAACAAGTGAAAAACAATGATATTTAAAGCGGAAATGTTTCTACAATCTCAGGTGTACATGCCATGCCAGTTTTACAGACAACAATTCAACTTTAAATAAAATCCATGTACAGAAGTACCATGAAATGAAATTTGTTCAGAATGACATTAAGATTAACTCAAGTTAACTAAAAGCCAATTATACAAAGTTTACTTACCTAAATTACTACTACAAGTGATCCAAAAATTAGGTTTTAAAGATATTTATAGGCTTTAAAATACAAAATAAGAAAGGACACAATAGAACTGAAAGATGAAGAAAAAATCAACTGTTTTTACACTAAGTCAAACGCCAACAGAGCTAGTCTTTTTGAGATACTTAATGAGACATTTCAAATACCACAACTATTCATATACTGTATGCTGAACACACTCATTCACATATGCTAAAAATACTATCTCTACTTTTCTTATATTTAAATTTAAAAAAATAAATTTATAAATATATTGACTAATATTATTTTCTGTCATGAGGACATACGGCTAGAAGTGACTGCTTAAATAGTCAGAACTCAGAATGGACAGAGTAAGGTCAATCTACCTCTAAATGCAGAAATAAGAGCCTTGGAGTTCACCAGAGGCTATACTATATAAACTATTTTTCTAAATTAATTTGAAAATGCTGATTCTTTTCAGCTTATTCTCTTATAATGATTCTTTAAATTGACTTACCAAGATTTACATCTGGTAGTATTTTATCATGAAACTGTGTTTCCCCACCATTAGGGGAAAGAAAGTCTGCCAGAAGTTGACTATTACTCAGTTCTGGATGCTGCAGAAGTTTCTTGAATGAACAAAAAAAAGAGGGGGGGAAACAATTTAGATATCTAGAAGAGTAATCAAAACTGTATTTATATGTTTTTTTGATTTTATTTTTATCCCCCAAAGCTACTTTATATTTAAAATAATAACAAAGCAATTGCATTTTTAGAAAGAAGAGTATAGGATAGTAGGTAAGACCTTGGCCTTTACAGTCAGACATGAATGAGTTTGAATTCTGATTCTTCCACATGCTAGCTAAGTGACACCAGAAAAGTTCCTAAATTGCCCAAGAGTCAGTTTCCTCACCTATAAAATAAGAATAATGACACTACCAACTTTATAGTGTTGTTATATAAAGCATTTAGTACAGTATTGGACACACAGGAAGTAAAACTAAACATAAGCTACTATTATTTCCCAGTTCTCAACTATAAAAAGAGTACAATAGCATGATACAACTTTCTTAATAATTTTTAAAAGTCAGCATAAAGGGTTTTGCAGAAAACTAGATGTGGAAATGTGAAATAACTTAAAAAATCTGTTGTTTGTTCTTCCTGCAACACTATTTTCTAATAAGATAAAATCGGCCAGGTGCAGTGGCTCATGCCTGTAATCTTATCACTTTAGAGGCCGAGGTGGGTGGATCACCTGAGGTTGGGAGTTCGAGACCAACCTGATCAACATGGCAAAATCCCGTCTCTACTAAAAATACAAAAATTAGCCGGTGGTGATGGCCTGTAATCCCAGCTACCTGGGAGGCTGAGGAAGGAGAATCGCTTGAACTTGGGAGGTGGAAGTTGCAGTGAGTCAAGATCATGCTGTACTCCAGCCTGGATGACAACAGCGAAATTCCACCTCCAAAAAAAAAAAAAAAAGACTTAAAAGCCAAAATTAACCCAGTCTTAACCTAATAGTTTTCTAACTATGAAACACTAACAAAACATAAATAGAAATCTACATTTAAAAACCAGTACAGCAACCTCTAATTTAAATCCACATTAACAGAAAATATTTCTTATACAGTGAAGTACTCTAGTTCGTAGAAATAATTAGCTGGTTCAAATAATGGGTTAACAGTATCAACAAAGACATAGCTTTATGTTTTATCCAAACATCCCTGCAGTAGTTAATTATTATTTCATATTTCAATTTTCACATCACCAAAAAAATGTATATAGAAAATATAGATCTATTTTTTCAACTTGGCGTTGAAAGCATTCAACAGTTCAGAGAGAGGAAATAAAGTGTAAATAATCCTTTACACTGCTGAGTATTTTTAATTTAAAAGTATTTCTTTTTTGGTAGGAAGCATTCAAATTTGACTGAATCAACAATTTTTTAAACATAAAAAATTCCATGCCCAAATAAAATATTTTTTAAACAAATATAAGTATCCTCTCTTATAAGCACTTGATAAAGAAAGACGGTTATTAATCTTGGAGAGCCTGATGTCTCAAGTAACTTTTACACTGACTGTATCAGGTATTGAAATAACATACCAATTATATTTGAATGTAATGTTATGTGCACATATAACACTATGAAAAAAATGGAATTCAATTCCATGTAGCAAATAGTAGAGTTGCTCCCAGGAAATTGGAAAAACATCTATGAACCCAAAAGAAAAGGTACTCCAAAGTTCAGAATACGCTAAACACAAAATCAAACAGAAAACAGAACAAACAATAACAAATATTCTAAGAATACTATCCAGTGTTCTTCAAATGCATCTAATCTTTTACACCAAATGTTTCTTTTTTAATGTCCTATACAAAGTTTTAATCGGCCTAAAACTAAAGATTTTTCTGGACTGGGTGCAGTGCTTCATGCCTGTAATCCCAGCACTTTGGGAGGCCAAGGAAGGTGGACCATGAGGTCAGCAGTTCGAGACCAGCCTGGCCAACATGATGAAACTCCGTCTCTACTAAAAATACAAAAATTAGCCAGGCGTGGTGGTGTATGCCTGTAATCCCAGCTACTAGGGAGGCTGAGGCAGAAGAATCACTTGAAACCAGGAGGTGGAGGTTGCAGTGAGCCTAGATCATGCCACAGCACTCTAGCCTGGATGACAGAGTGAGACTTAGTCAAAAAAAAAAAAAAAAAAAAAATTTCTTCTCCTAAGAAAATATCTTATATTTTATTCCATTTTGGCAGGGACGCGGACGGGGGAGAGAAGGTAGATGGAAGTAATATACTCTTGACAAAAATTCATTCTAAAATTCACATGGAAATTTTTTAAACTTAAAATCCACATGGACAGATATTTATAGAGCAAAGCACAAATGTACAAGAGAAAAAGAGACAAATTAGAGAATGCTATAATTAGCAACTTTTGGAATTAATATAGTTGACGTTCTACCTGTAGATATTCCTGGAACTCTTCCCTCTTTGACTTTAAGAATTCATAATTTTTGGGGCCAATAATCCTCTTAGAAGGAAGCTGGGCATCAGGAAATGTACCTGAAATTAGTACATATTAAAGTTATTGCTGTGTTCTGCTATTATTTTTAAAACCTTAAAATAGGTTTTAACATTTACTACGGCACTTTCAGATTAACAACACTGCCTTGTAGAGATGTGACATTATTCTTTGAATAACCTTCACAAAATCAGAGAACTTCAAGTCAAAAGTCCAGACGAAAGAACTTGAGTCTACTGATTAACAAATATCACTCATAACAACCACGGTTTGACATAGATTTTTTTAGCTTTCTATACTAGTAAAACAGCTTCAAAAATTATTATGAGATTGTTTTGAAATTGGTGAGATATATTAGATAAAACCTTAATAAAGAAGTAACTAATTTCTCATACGGAAAAAAAGAATAGCATTTTGTAAATGCTACATAAATAGTTTAAAATCAAAACGTAAGCCGGGTGCAGTGGCTCACACCTATAATCTCAGCACTTTGGGAGGCCAGGGTGAGCAGATCACTTGAGGTTAGGCGTTTGAGACCAAAATGATGAAACCCCATCTCCACTAAAAATACAAAAAAATTAGCCAGGCATGGTGGCATATGTTTGTAATCCCAGCTACTTAGGAGGCTAAGGTGGGACAATCACTGGAACCTTGGAGGCAGAGATTGCTGTGAGCCGAGATCACACCACTGCACTCCAGCCTGGGTGACAGAGCAAAACGCCATCTCAAACAAAAAAAAAAAGAAAGAAAAAAAAATGTAAAAACTATGAATGTATTTTCTCAGATAGGACTGGCTTTAGAAATTTTAGTATCAAAAAAGTATAAACAAAAAAAGTTTTCAAAGAAAACTCTCAGCCTTAAACAAAAAAAGTTTTAAGAGAAAGAATAAGGATGGTACTGTACCAGATTGGTAGAGAGAAAAGAAAAACCATTTCGATACACATACAAACTCAAAATCCAGGCACAAACACAGAGTGGGACCTTTATTTTTCTATAATAATCATCCTTATCACAGGCTTTGTTCTTATAGCAGGGAAAGGAATGTTCCTTACTCTTCTCAATTCAAAATCAACCTGAATTTGGATCAGGAGACACTCTACAGAGCTTTTCTAAAATAAAAAGATTTAGAACACACAGGTAAAACTCACCAAGCTACAAACAAACAAAAAGCTGGAAATTGTTTATAACTATATCCCTGATATTAACCAAAATAAATAAATTGATGAGACAGGAAGAACAAAAAAGAATAAATAGAAAACCCTTTCTAAAATACAGTTTTAAAATACTATTTTTAAATTTTTATTATTAAAAAAGCATAAAAGTGCATTGCAAGAACTTTAAATACAGAGATAAGTAAAAATAAAAAGATAAACAGTACACTTCTGTTATCAATAAAAGTGTACATAGTGCCACTGTTGTATTTCTTTGGTATAATTATTTAAAATAAATTAATCTGGTATCATAGCTTTAAAGAATAGTAATGCTGAAATGCAATGTTTTATCCAAAAAGAATAACATACCATGAAATTCTGTTAATTTTGATTCAAGTACATAGAATTCAAGATATCTTCTATAGACAGACCAGTGTTCAGGCTCATGTCCAACTGTAAATTGAGTAAACACACAGTGAGTAACAAATGATTTAACACCCTAAAAGAATACCATATTTAAAACATTAAGAATACAAAGCTGGCTGGGCACAGTGACTCATGCCTATAATTCCAGAACTTCGGGAGACTGAGGTGGGTGGATCATCTGAGGTCAGGAATTCGAGACCAGCCTGGCCAAAGTGGTGAAACCCTGCCTCTATTAAAAATATACAAATTAGCCCGGCATGGTGTTGGGCGTCTGTAGTCCCAGCTACTCAGGAGCCTCAGGCAGGAGAATCGCTTGAACCTGGGAGGCAGAGGTTGCAGTGAGCCAAGATTGCATCATTGCACTCCACCCTGGGCAACAGAGTGAGACTCTGTCTCAAAAAAAAAAAAGAATACAAAACTGGAAATTATTCCACAGTCATAATTTGTTATTTTTTGCATAACATTATTAACAAATTTTATCCCATATTTTAGTTACCTAGAAGTGACTAACAAATTTTATCTATTATGAAGTTATCTCAAGAAAATATACTTTTTCTGTATGGAATCAGAGCTGACAGAACTTTAAAATATCATGCAATTATAATTATTTTTAAAATGTCACCAAAATAATGTATTTCACAAAAAATTTTTTTACTGATTTTGGGTCTCTCAAATATTTACCATGTTGTCCTAATTTAACATAGTACAGAGCAGTACTATCCAATAGAAGTCTGCAATTATGAAGATGCTCCACAGATCTGCATTAAAACAGCAGCCACTAGCCACATGTTGTCACTGAGTACTTGAAATGCAGCTACTGCAACTAAAGAACTCAAATTTTAATACAATTTAATTTGATTTTAATTACCACATGCAGTTACTGGCTACCAAATTGGGCAGCACATAGTAATGGTTTCAAGAGTGAGTCTGGAATCAGACTGCCTACTCTAATCCCAGTTAACCCTGCCCCCATTTACTATGTGGTCTTAAACAAATAATACCACCCTACCTTACAATACTTAGATGTAGAATAAAAATAATTGTGTCTATTACATAACATAATCTACATAAAGTACTTTTGTACAGTGCATGGCACAGAGTACATACCTCATAAATGTTAATTGTTATTGTTAACATCTAACATCATGTGTTAGAGTATCAAGTCAATCAATACCACAACCATCCAAAACAATACTTCTATTTAGAAAAAACCAACCTGATCACAACATATAAAACAAATCCTAGTTTTCTTCTTCAACACTAGTCTTAAAAGATCCATAGGATATTCGTTACGTTTTTAATGCCGAAATTGTTATTTTGTTATCCATATAAAATCAGCATAGTAAATGATACACTTTTTTCTCCCTCATAGATCATGGTTTCTAAGTGCACATTACATTGACAGTAGAAGTCTGCAGCATTGTTGACAAACATTATCTTTAAAATACAAGCTTTTGGTCCAGCATAGTGGCTCACACCTGAAATCCCAGTACTTTGGGAGGCCACAGTGGGAAGACCGCTTTGAGCTCAAAAGTTCAAGACCAGCCTCAACAACACACTGAAACCCTGCCTCTACAAAAAAATTTTTTTAATTAGCTGTGTGTGGTAACATGCACCTATAGTCCCAGGTACTCAAGAGACTGAGTTGGGAGAATCACTTGAGCCCAGGAAGTTGAGGCTGTAGTAAGCCACAGTCATGCCACTGCACACCACCATAGGCAACAAAGCAAGATCCTCTCTCAAAAAGAAAAAAAATTAAATTAAAAAATAAAATACAAGTTTTAAGATCTTGGGGGTTTTATTTTTAAGTTACTGAGCCATAAATTACTATTATTTATGTTAAATAATTAACCTTTTAAAATAAAGCATAAAAATTAAAGGCAACTGTCATAAAGCAAAACCAAAAGTATATTCCAAACAAAACTAAGTTTGAAACAGTAATCAGACTCTATTATTGACAATGGTTTGGCTGTCCACCTGTCAGAATGCTGAGAGAACACCAACTACTAAGACTAAACAGCAACTCCAACAAAATCAGGCAGTATAGCCTAAGACCTGGACAGAATAAGATTCTGCCTGGTATTTAGTTATGACAGAAAAAATTATAACTAGCTACTCAGGGCATTCTTCCTTCCCAATTCCTGTGTCCCATGTTCTTGAAACAGAATCAGCTTTTGAAGAAAATCAGAAAACCTAATACTTTTTGAAAAATAAATAAGAATAATTAGCACTGATCTTCACACTACAACTTAGTTATCCTCTCAAAACCATTTTCTAACAGTCACTTTTTTTCCTTCTTTCCTCATAACTCCCTCTTTCTGAGCTCAACTTTATTTTCTGCTCATCATTCTCAAAATATACATGACTTTGTGCTTTTCCCTACACTGACTGACCCACTTCTTGGACAAAGTGCAAAGTGGTGACTGTTTTATTTTTTAATTTGATTTCTTTTTATGAAGTTACAAGTAGGACTTGAAAGTGGTGACTTTATCCTGCTACAGATGCTGTTAACCCTTATCTCTTCTACACTCTATACCTGAAATAACCAAAAGAAAAAATATGGCTAAACATGAAGAAAACTTGTAAAGTTTTAATCATACTTTCATCAGTTCTGTTTTTTTTTTTTTTTTTTTAAGACAGGGTTTCACTCTGTCTCCAAGGCTGGAGAGCAGTCACGAGATCTTGGCTCACTGTAACCTCTTCCTCCTGGGTTCAAGTGATATTCATGCCTCAACCTCCTGGGTAGCTGGAACTATAGCACATACTACCATGCATGGCTAATTTTTGTATTTTTAGTAGATACGGAGTTTCACCATGTTGGTCAGGCTGGTCTCAAACTCCTGACCTCAGGTAATCCACCCGCCTTGGCCTCTCAAAGTGCTGGGATTATAAGAGTGAGCCACCATGCCTGGCCATATTTTCATCAATTGTAATTAGCCCACAAAATGGGTGCGAGAAAATACTGCCTTAATTAAACAAATATAATACCTGATACAGTGCTGTATGGATTAATGATAATTAAGTAAGTATAATGGCTAATGATGGCAACAAAACCATTAAAAAAACATTACATTAAATGCCTGATGGACGGTCAGGTGTCTAGCAGGCTTCACTCAATAAATGTTGATTGAATGAGTTAGTTAACTGCTAACAAAGATAATCTGGGACAGCCTAAGCCTTCTTTCAATTTTCTGTTTTGGACACTCTCTTTTGGACATGCAGCTATATTTGTTAGACTGAAGTGGCAAAATGTTTATTGTACCTGAAAACAATACTCATTCATGGGCACCTTTTAAGAAAGGTGTTCAGAAAGCTTCCTACCTGCTCTTCTATCATTTCTTTCAACATCAATACAAAACACAGGAATTCTCTCTTTCTTCTCCTTCCTTTCAGAGGAGGGATCCTCAAAAAAGTCTACATATGGAATGCTAATTTTCCATGCAGCAAGGTTTCGGGGAGTATTAGGTGTGCTCACAGCCTCCACTGGAGAATCATCTTCCATTACAACAATACCTTCTTCAATCTGGAAAAAAATTAATGGGATGAATTTAATATTCCCAATACCTTTAGAATTATAGCATATGAGATACAAGTAAAAAGTATTATGCCCTTATCAACTGATAATTTTTTAAGACTCTGAAAGCTAGGTAATATTAAATTTTCTACTGAAAAAATAAAGACAAAAACTTAAAAACTAAGTTACTAGCATTAACTCTAAGTTGTGCTGTATCATCTGTGTATGAAAATATAATAGGCCAGGGACAGAGCCTATAATCCCAACACTTGCAGAGGCTGAGGTGGGAAAAATGCTTGACCCAGAAGTTTGAGACTAGCCTGAGAAACACAGCAAGACTTCGTTGCTACAAAATATTTGTGAAAATTTACTTGGGCATGGTGGTGCGGGTCTGTAGTCCCAGCTACTCAGGAGACTGAGGTGGGAGCATCACTTGAGTCCAGGAGGCTGAGATTGCAGTGAGCCAAGTTTGTGCCACTGTACTACATCCTGGGTGACAGAGGAAGACCCTGTCTCAAAAAAAAAAAAAAAAAAAAGGAAAATATAATAGAAGATAAAGAATAAATATCTTAGAGACTATGGAAGAAAATATGTAAAACACACAAATTCAGAAAACATTCAACCTTTGTGATAAGAAATAAAAATTAATGTACTGGTTTTTTCATTTTGAAAAGTAAAATTTTATAAATGACAACAGTCACTGACGGAGACTGCACAGATAAACTAGATCTGTGACACACTGCTGGTTACAAAGTATACCAGCACAACCCTTCTGGAAAGTGTTTTGGCAATATTTATCTATAAAGAGTCAAAAAATGATTTCAAACAAGTAATTCCATTTTTGAAAATTTATTGTAATAAAAATATTTACTTCAAAAAAATTTTTAACTATAAAAACGACCCAAGTAAAAACTGTAGCAGTAACGTAAAATTGGAAAAAAGGTCGGAATAAAACCAACCTCTACAGAATTAAAAGTTTTTCTGTTTCATCACTCTAAAACTAACATAAATGTTTAAATGCTAAATATTTTCAAATACCAAAAAAATAAAGTAACAATTATTTTAAAAAACAAAACTACATGTTCTAGAAATAGATACACAGGAAGAAGGAAACAACTGTTTTTTAAGTTGAAAGAGTCCATTTGAATCTGGCATATTATAAACATCGACTCACCTAGACATCTCTTATTCATGTTTAAAAGGACAAAATGTTATAAATAAAACGCATTCATCTTGAACACACCTTTTTAAAAGCAATGAGTCAAAGTTTGCAGCACTTAAGAGAATTCTGAGTAGCCTAGTCAGAGCGAACCACTAGTATGGAGGAATTTATTTCCAGATTTCTAACCCTACCTTCACTCTCAGTTCTTTCCTCTCAACCCTGGTACCCACCTCTCTTCTAAGAAAATTCCTTTCCTCCCCCACAAACTTCCTTTCCTTTTTTCTGTCCTCATCCTAAATTGGCTTTCCATAATCTCTAATAAGATTCTTACTGATCTTAGGAAGACTTTTTTTTTTTTTTTGCGACGGAGTTTCACTCGTTACCCAGGTTGGAGTGCAATGGCGTGATCTCGGCTCACAGCAGCCTCCACCTCCTGGGTTCAGGCAATTCTCCTGCCTCAGCCTCCTCAGTAGCTGGGATTACAGGCACGCGCCACCATGCCCAGCTAATTGTTTGCATTTTTAGTAGAGACGGGGTTTCACCATGTTGACCAGGATGGTCTCGATCTCTTGACCTCGTGATCCACCCGCCTCGGCCTCCCAAAGTGCTGGGATTACAGGCTTGAGCCACCGTGCCCGGCCTGGAAGACTTCTTAATGCTCTGTTGAAAACAACTTGAAGACCTTAAGAAACAAAACTATAAAAATAGATGACAGATGTTGGGGTTTGCCTTTTAAGAGGCAAGATTATCTCCTTATAATCTTGGAAGAAACACAGAGAGATAGATGTATGATGGAAACACCCAACGTTTAATACTTGAGGTTTAAGGTAGCATCTTCCATGGTTACTACAAATATATTTTTGTTAATGGATCTGGCTTCTGAGGAGAAGAGAAAGTGAATCATACAATGACGGAGAATTAGTTGAAAATGCTGACTAAAAGCCAGAAGAAAAAAAAGACATTCTTCAATTAAAAGAAGCTCCTCAGAATCAAATCAAAGAAACAAAATGGGAGAACAAAATTCTTAGCAATGAAAAAGGACAAAGTTTAATAATTTATTACTGTTACTACTTAAATGGTATTTTTATCAACAAAGTCTAAAGAAAAATCTCTAGGGAAATATTTCTCTAATAACTTTCAGGGCATCCTTTAACGCTGTTTGAAAATAAGTAAATATTGTAAGCAAAATGTTAATAAGGGAAAACCAAGTACTTTAAACACTTTTCATTTCCAAATAGCTGTTCTTTCTACGAAGAGGATGGTGATTATGGAAGGTGGAGATAAAAGATTAAATGTCCTTCTATTTCCTTAAGAAATGTTAGTATTTCTGATTATTCTTTCCCTATACAGAGATAATTCCCAAGTTATCTCTGTATATATCTTTGTATAATATGTACAGGCATATTATATTTTGTAACTATATTTGTAAGCCATATTTCTGAACTTAAGACAGAAATGCATTTTCTGATACATCAACCCATTTTTTGTTGTTGAGACAGGGTCTCACTAGGTTGCCAGGCTCACTGCAACCTCCTCCTGGGCTCAAGTGATCCTCCTTTATCACTCTCCTGAGTAGCTGGGACTATGGGAACCCACTACCACACCGAGCTAATTTTTGTGTTTATACAGACAGCATTTCACCATGTTGGCCAGACTGGTCTCAGACTCCTGAGCTCAAGTGATCCTCCCGCCTCAGCCTCCCAAAATGCTGGGATTACCAGTGTGAGCCATCAAACCCAGCCCCAACCCAATCTTATATAACAGGCTATCAGAATTGATGTGCTTACAGGACTTACTCTATGTGCAAGGCACTGTTCTCAGTGCTTCATATATATTACTTGGTTAATACTTCTTACAACATCTCTATGTAAGATAAATAGTATTATCTCCATTTCAAGGTGACAAAACAAAATCACAATAAAATTAACCAACATACCCAAGATCACTGAGCAAGTAGGCACTGCTGCCAAATGATACAACAAGGGTTCTGAAAGACATCTTCTACATGTCTAATAAGACATCCTAAATGTCTCCAATTTAGGATCACAAACCACTTTATTCCTGGCAGTGAAACTTGCAACTTCTCTTTTCCCTCAACTTCCTAAACAAGACAAAGCGGATTCCCCTAGTACCCACAGCTTGGAACTAGCACAGTGTCTTCTAAATCCTAAGTGGCATCATCTTAGTCTGGGTCAGCACCTTACTGTCCCTGTATTTTCCTTTGATAGTATTAAACATAGTTTGCCTGCTTCTCCAACTTTCTGTTACTACTGTCTTTACTCCCAATCAAGAATTTCCTTCTTCCTTGGGTCACTACAAAACAGAGCAAACTCTCTCAGCTTTTTAAAGATATCCTCCTATTACTGAAGCTGAAATACAGCCTGTGTATCAAGCAATTGGGAAGGCAAAATACAACTTCCTCCATAAAAAATATGTTTTAAAAGTTCAGGATAACACGAGTAAATACTTTTGTTACAATATCAAATGGGGAGAAAGGATAGCAAACTATATTTATAATGTAGTCTAGTGAAAAGGAAAAGGTTTTTATGTTTGGGGGATTTTTTTTCTTTTTTTAAGAAAATCACCAAACTATTAATAGAAGTGGTCACTGGGTGGTAAGATTATGGGTGTAAGTGGCATTTAAATTTTTTCCCACTGTTCTATATTATTAGAAAACTGGCTGGGCGCAGTGGCTCACACCTGTAATCCCAGCACTCTGGGAGGTCGAGGCAGGCAGATCACGAGGTCAAGAGATCGAGACCATACTGGCCAACATAGTGAAACCCCATCTCTACTAAAATATAAAAATTAGCTGGGCATGGTGGCGTGTCTGTAGTCCCAGCTACTCGTGAAGCTGAGACAGGAGAATCGCTTGAACCCGGGAAGTGGAGGTTGCAGTTAGCCGAGATCACGCCACTGTACTCCAGCCTGGCGCCTGGCAACAGAGCAAGACTCTGTCTCAAAAAAAAAAAAAAAAAAGAAAAAAAGAAAACTGATAATATGCTTAAAATTAGAAAGCATAAACATTATTTTGAAAAAGACTTTCTCTACTTTCTTCTACCCACACACTTTTTTCTTTTTCTTTTCTTTTTTTTTTTTTTTTTGAGACAGGCTTTCACTCTGTTAACCAGGCTGAAGTGCAGTGACACAAACCCAGTTCACTGTAGCCCTGACCTCCTGAGGTGAGGTGATCATCCCAAGTAATTAGGACTACAGCTGTGTACCATCATGCTCAGCTTATTTTTTTTTTAGTTTTTTGTAAAGACAGGGTATCACCATGTTGCTCAAGCTGGTCTTGAACTCCTTGGCTCAAGCAATCCTCCTGCCTCAGCTTCCCAAAGTGCTCAGATTACAGATGTGAGCCACCAAACCCTGAACAAAAATACTACCCACACTTATAGGGAAAAATAAAGGCATAAAAAAATGCTGTATTTGGATTAATAAAAAAGGTCTTATAAATAAGATTTTCTTCCATTTAAATTATTATGAAGAATCAGTTACCCTTAGTAATTTATCAAGGCAATGGGACAAAGGTCAAAAGGATGGGGTAAAGAAACGGGTTTACTCCTGTCTCCCCACCTTTCCTCCTTCTTGGTCATAATCAGTCCAATCAGGACTAAACATCCCTTTTAGACCTGAGTTAGTGAATTTCTTAAGGCTGAGGTCTACATGTAATCATTTCTTCATCCCCAGTGCCCAGGGTCATTAAAAGGCAAATGAGAATCCAAGATCTGTATTCAATAAAAATTAAAAGTACAAACGAGACAATACTTGCCTTTATGGGACTACGTGATAGGAAAAACAATCATAAACACATAACTTCAAATACATTATGGTACAAGCTTTAACATATGATATGATAGAGACATAAAAGGATAAAATGCTCAGTTCAACTCCGGGATTCACATAAAGGTTTATGGGGAACACCAGCATTCTGAAGGATGCATACAAATTTTCCAGGTCAATAAATGAAGGAAGGGCATTTTAAGCAGGACAAAAATACAGAGAAATAAAATAGCATGGTAAGTAAAATGTACATGTAAGTTAACTAGAAATCTTATTAAAATGCAAATTGATTCAGTAAGTCTAGGATAGGGCCTGAGATTCTGTATTTACACAAGCTCCCAGGTAATGCCAATGCTGCTTGTCCACAGATCACAGTTTAAGTAGCAAGGAATTAGAGTATCTATTAACAGCTCTGTATACCTGGAACATACGACTGGAAAAAGTTAACATCAGAATTTGAAGCTTAACCAAAAGATGGTAAACTGTTTGACTACTAGAAATACCTCAGCTTAACAGAAACCATTCTGCCTTAATAAGCAGTAACACAGTTCTCAGAAATTTTAAAAATTAGATTCACATCATGAAACTATCATAACTAACGAAGGAATGAGAAATACAAAGGAAGTCTGAAGTAAGAAGATAGAGGGAAAGTATTAGACAGAACACAGATTCCCCAAAAACAAAAGAAAACAATGAGTATATCTAATTTTTTTATGTTATAGTAAGTCTAAAGTTGTACACAAATCAAATTGATACATTTTTACTTACAAAATCATCTTCACCTTCAGCTAAACCATAATTAGGCAACATAGCTCCCTCCATTGTGGTGCTTTTGAATACTCCTTTAATTTTGCTACCTATTCTGCTGATTCCAAATGATTCTCCCCTTTTCTGTGTGTTCCTGAATATTAAACAAAAATATATCAAGTACATAGCAAATCATCACAACAGTCTAGTTTATTGTAAACCACTATTTTAAAAAAAGAAAAACAGTTTTTAAAATGTAAACTAAAGGTATAGCTAACATTAAGTTCTGGAGTTTTCATCCATGGATTAAGTATCAACATCTCAGAAGCGAAAAATGACACAGTATTTAAGGTTTAAATTTCATAGATGAATAAATGGGACAATATATATATTTATAAACACTCAAAATTTACCTAGTATTAACTTCAAAATATTAACGGGATTAAAATTTTTAAAACATGACAGCCCCCTAGTGGAATATAGTTCTTATTGCGATATTTTGAAATAGAAAAATGCCTAAGATCTGTTCAAAACCGAAAACATCCCTTTAGAGTAACTGTACTAAAATAATGCAACAGAAAAAAACATTAAGATACTACTTTCTCAGTGCTTCATTTTCAAATGGAACTTTAAAAAAAAACTGTCTATGACTGACAAACGTTCAAGCAAAATTCAACTTTATAAGCATACAAATACTCAAAAAAGGCATGAGGTACAAAACGGATCTTAAATTATTTAACTTCAAAGTAAGAAAAAGAATAGTGCCAAAGAGAAAGGTTAGCAATGAGAATAGGGATAAAAGCAAATGTAGCCCTAGGAAGCAGTCTGCTCTGCCATAAATATTAAATGTTAGTTTTGCAATTTTTTTAAAGCTGAATTTCTGAAAGCAGAAATAGTTGGAAAGCAACAAAATAAATAAGCTAAAAGTAGCAAAAATGTCTGTTAGCCTACTGCCCAATGTTTCAGCAATTAAAACCATAACTTTTATTCAACTTAAAAGTCATGCTCAAGGCTGGGCACAGTAGCTCACACCTGTAACCCCAGCACTTTGGGAGTCCAAGGTGGGCAGATTTCCTGAGGTCGGGAGTTCGAGACCAGCCTGGCCAACATAGAGAAACCCTGTCTCTACTAAAAATACAAAAATTAGCCAGGCATGGTGGCGGACACCTGCCATCCCAGCTACCAGGAAGGCTGACGCAGGAGAATCACTGGGACCTGAGAGGCAGAGGTTATAGCAAGCTGAGAATGCACCACTGCACTCCAGTTTAAAATCATCAAGTATATAGCTATTACTCCTATGAGGAAATTTTAAATTATCTACTGAAATAATACAATTAAAGAAAAAAATTAATGAAGTTTTAAATATACCAATATGCAGTAATGTGTATTTTACACATGCCCAAGAAGTAAATCAAACTTCTGAAAAAACTGGAAAAACACTAATAGTAAGCAGTAAGCACTAAAAAGGGTACTTAAACTAGATTATTCTATTTTTAAAAACATTAAATTAGGTTTTTTTTAAATCCAGAATTGTAGACACAATTGTCCTTGATTTAAAAAAAAAAATGCTTCCCAAAACACAAAAATGTTAACAAAATATTTTTAAAATCTCTAGAATCTAGATAATTTATTCTAGTCTCTACAACATGGAAATTATACAACAATGGGGGTTGCTGAAATATGAATTTTTTTTTTGAGACGGAGTTTCGCTCTTGTTACCCAGGCTGGAGTGCAATGGCGCAATCTTGGCTCACCGCAACCTCCACCTCCTGGGTTCAAGCAATTCTCCTGCCTCAGCCTCCTGAGTATCTGGGATTACAGGCATGAGCCACCATGCCCAGCTAATTTTTTGTATTTTTAGTAGAGACGGGGTTTCACCATGTTGACCAGGATGGTCTTAATCTCTTGACCTCGTGATCCACCCGCCTCGGCCTCCCAAAGTGCTGGGATTACAGGCTTGAGCCACCGCGCCCAGCTGAAATATGAAATTTTAAAACTGCCATTTGTGATTATGCCCAGAAATACAAAAACATCATTATACTTCTTACTAAAAAAAAAAGTTATTTAAACCATAAACAATTCTAAAACTAATTTAGTAAAATAAAGAAGAAGAACAAAAATGAGTCAGCCTTAAAAAACAAGATACTGACAAATTAAATAATGAAAATATCTTGAAAGTATCAGGACATTTTTATTTTATAATCACATATCATGCTATATCAAAAAGGAGATATCTAGAATCAATGTAGGTATTCATTTTAAAAGATTATCCTAAATAACTAGGATATAATGGCAGTTAATACCACAGTGTTTCATTTTTTTCTTTTTTATTTGTATTAGGTTGTTCACAATGTACTTTCTAAAAACATTTAATACTGAAAAGAATCACATGCTCAAGACTTACCGAAAATCATCCAAACTTAGGCTACCTCTGCAATAACAGATATGTGAAATTATATAAAAAGAGGAGAGAAAGAAAGCCCAGATATTATATAAACTTCAATTTAGAACACAAAACAAAATTTATAAGCTTCAGAAGTTACACAGGTGTATAACATTCATCTTTGCAAAGGGAGGAAATCCTCATGAATAAGGTGATATAGGTAAGAGAAATAAATGCACATAGTTGTCTTTTGTGTTTGGAAGTTTATATACTAAAAACAGTTCTTAAAAATTAAATATGTTATAATCTTGGGTGACATGAAAAAAATTAGATATGTCAGGAAAAAACTTTTTTCTGCATTATTAAAAAATGTTCTTAGAAATTAAATATCCAGAAATAATTCTATCTTTTGTCCTTAGGCATACCACTTCTTTCACACAGTGAAAAGTATAAAGAGACTGAGTCACCAAATACCTGACACACACACACACACAAATTCGTATTTTCCAACATGAAATTTGTGTCCGTATTAGATATAATCACTTATGTTTCGCATTTTAGCTTGAGTAAAAAAATATGTTTTACCACATGTTCTCACTCATAAGTGGGTGTTGAACAATGAGAACACATGGACACAGGGAGGGGAACATCATACAGTGGGGTCTGTTGGGGGATACGGGGCTAGGGAAGGGATAGCAGGGAGTGGAGAGATTCGGGAGAGATATCATTAGGAGAAATACCTAATGTAGGTGACAGGGGGATGGAGGCAGCAAACCACCATGGCATGTGTATACCTATGTAACAGTCCTGCAATATCTGCACATATACCCAAGAACTTAAAGAAAAACAAACAAATAAATAAAAAAATATATGTTTTAAGCTAAGAAGCACAGTTAACAAAAGATCTCTAAATATTAAAAAAAGTTGTACTTTGAGTGTACAATGAAACAGAGAACGTAATAAACAATATGCATTAGAATTTTACTTTGAAAATATAAAATGTAGATATAAAGTATATGAATAAATACTTTACATATTTTAAGTCATTTAATAGCAAATTAACAAAGCTATTATAAATGTCCAATGAAATAACGTTAAGAACTCTTTTAACGTATTAGACATAGGTAAATAAATCATTAAGTATCACAGAAGCAAGACTGATAGTTACTATTAGAATCAGATTACCATAAAGAAAAATACACCTTAAAAAGCCATAATCAGTATCCAGAATGGAAAAAACCCATATAACCTGTCTTTTATATATATTTTAAAGCCAACAAAATTAGTGCCTTAACATGCTGAAAATAATCAACTGTTCTCAAAGCAGCAAAGAAAGATTTTAGTCTCCCAAGTTATGACCCTGATTTAGATTTAGCTATCAAGCTAGTTTTTTTGTTTGTTTGTTTTCTTTGTTTTGTTTTTTTTTATTGAGGCAGTGTCTTATGCCCAGGCTGGAGTACAGTGGTGCAGTCTCGGCTCACTGTAATCTCTGCCTCCTTGGGTTCATGTGAGTCTCCTGCCTCAGCCTTCCAAGTAGCTGGGATTACACAAGTCTTCTACCACACTCAACTAATTTTTGTATTTTTACTAGAGGCGGGGTTTCACCATGTTGGCCAGGCTGGTCTCAACCTCCTGACCTCAAGTGATCCACCTGCCGAAGCCTCCCAAAGGGCTGGGATTACAGGCATGAGCCACCATGCCCGGCCAGCTACCAAGCAGGCTTTTAAGATCACAGAACCACTTCCCCTTAAATGGTCCTAGAAAAAGGCATTTCATTAGCTCCGTATCCTGGTATGAGACTCCAAACATCGAAGGATAAATTCTACCTGTTTCTCAAGTATGTCAGCAAATTTGATGAAACTCCTTGGGAAAGTATTCAAATGCAAGAAGAGGCATGTGGCCTGGGCAAACAATGCTATTTTAAATAGCATAAATATGATTTTTGTTAAATAAAGTCTATATTGCGTGGCTATAACACATAAATTTTTAGGAAAAAGCAAAAAAGAGATATTTTTACAGATAATCCTAAAGGTATTTCCTACCTTTCAGAAAAGTTATTACATGTGTACTACACATTTAATGTCTCTACTGAGGCATTAAATCAGAATTAATATTCAATGGTCAAAAAAAATTTATTCTTGTAACGCTTATGTCAAGAAATACAACATATTCTCCTCATGGTAAAGTTTTCACATTTTTCTTTGTACTAACTATCTAAAACACTGTCCCATTTCTTGACTTACCTACCTCTCTCTTTGTAGTATATATCCAATTTATTTTTATGTTTACTAGATACTTGCTCAAATTGGAAGGTGTTGAGATGTCTGTCAATTTTGTACACATATAAAGTAAGTGAAATGAAATGATTCATTTACCTTATATATAGTAAATTAAAAGAGTTTCTTAACATTCTTTTTTTTTTTTTTTTTTTTGAGACAGAGTCACCCAGACTAGAGGATAGTGGTGCAATCTCAGCTCACTGCAACCTCCGCCTCCCAAGCTCAAACAATTTTTCTGTTTCTGCCAGGCTGGTCTCAAACTCCTGACCTCAAGTGATCCACCCACCTCAGCCTCACAAAGTTCTGGGATTACAGGTATGAGCCACCATGCCTGGCCATTAACATTTTTTCATTGGAAATTTAGAAAAGCTTTGTTGATTTGCTATTAAGTGACTTAAAATATATATTTATTCATATATTTTATGTGTACACTTTATTAGTGGAAGGTGTGTCAATTTTGTACATGTAACCTTGCCAAGATAAATCAGAACATTATCCAGTATATAAATGGATAAAGCTTTTTTCTTCTATTACCTTTCTTTAGATCATTTAACTATAGATTTCCAGAGAGCCAAAAAAAAGTAAGAAAGAAACATCCTTCCACTTTTGTACCCAGTAAGCACTCTAACAAGTAGTTTCCTCTAAAACAAAAACTGTCTAAATTCTGAGTTATCTGTGGATGCCACGTACACATGCTCTAGTCTCCAATAAGGCAGGTATACAAAACTAATATATATTAATTATGAGATTAACAAGGCCACATATATCTTGTTAAATTTTTCTAAAAGAATTTTAGGCATTTTCAGATCACTATATATAACACAGTTCCACAATTCACTAGTAAAATCCCTTGTCTACTCATATTAACAATGGACCCACATACTCATTCAGAAAAATAGCTAATAAAGACAATGATGCTATCATAGAATGATTAGCATCAGCAAGTTATAAAACAAAACATACAACCTACCTGTTGAATTTTGAATTGCGTGTTGGTGATTCTGCACCTCTTAAAAGTTGTCTAAAATACTTTAAAATAATAAATAATAATAATTATGTATTATAATTAACATTAAAACATGCTACCTTAGCTTACTACTTTCCAGTTTTGGGAAAAAAGCTATCTCAATCAAGGGAATACAGACATGGTCAAATAGGGTAAGGATGAAAATACTGCAAATGCAGATGATTGCCACAGTTTTGTAAATAATGTGTATACAATGAGATTTCTGCATCACTGCAGCACTACAAAGCCACTCAGGCATATGGTAAATGAGGCAGACCTATTTGATCCTAATCTATCTACTCACATAAATACAAACAGATTTTGGTATTGATAATTGTTTCTACAATTATTTTTTAATCTTCACTTAATTACATAGTAGAAAAGAATATTCACTTTCTTAATCTTGGTTTTTTTTGTTTTGTTTTGTTTTTTACTGAGACTGAGTCTTGCTCTGTTGCCCAGGCTCAAATGCAGCAGTACCCTCTCAGCTCACTGCCACTTCAGCCTTTTGGATTCAAGCTGTTCTCCTGCCTCAACCTCTTGAGTGACTGAGATTACAGGCATGTGCCACCATATCCAGCTAATTTTTTGTATTTTTACTAGAGACAGGGTTTCACCATGTTGGCCAGGTTGGTCTTGAATGCCTGAACTCAAGTGATTCACCTGTCTCAGCCTTCCAAAGTACTGGGATTAGGCCGGGCACGGTGGCTCATGCCTGCAATCCCAGCACTTTGGGAGGCCGAGGTGGGCGGATCTCGAGGTCAAGAGATTGAGACCAAAGTGCTGGGATTATAGGCATGATCCACCACGCTCGGCAATCTTGTTTTATTTTTCTATTTTATTTTGTTATTTGAATCACTCATCTAATGATATCAGAGCTACTAATAAATTCTGTATAAAAATCCTCAAACAAGGCCAGGCGCGGTGGCTCAGTGAGCCTGTAATTCCAGCACTTTGGGAGGTAGAGGCTGGCAGATCACGAGGTCAGGAGTTTGAGACCAGCCTGGCTAATATGGTGAAACCTCGTCTCTACTAAAAATACAAAAATTAGCTGTGCATGGTGGCGTATGCCTGTAGTCCCAGCTACTCAAGAGGCTGTGGCAGGAGAATCACTTGAACTCAGGAGGCAGAGGTTGCAGTGAGCTGAGATCATGCCATTGCACTCCAGCCTGGGCCACAGAGTGAGACTCCATCCCCACAACCCCACCCCCCAAAAAACATTCTCAAACAAGGTGAATAGTTTGACTTACCTCATCACTATGGCAGAACATAGGGGTAAATACATTCTCCAAGAGGGAAAGAACATGTTCATATGCTTCAAAAAGACATCTCATAGTTTGAAGTTTCACAACATCTATGTATGGCCCTTCAGCAACTATTAAAAAAATTCTATTTTAGAAATTATGTATAAATAGCATAAATGTATGTTAATTTAAAAGTCATTATAGTGAAGAGCATATAGTTCTAAAACTATGTTTTACTGAAACTCCACTGTAAGATATATACTAGAATGAGAAATTACATCAACCAAGGTCTAGTTCTGACAAATATGTAAAGTATGAATACATTTTTTCCTCAAAGCTTTCATCTCATTAGTAAAAGAGAGTAACAGCTGCCCATGTACTGCACATAGCCACTGCAATAATAAACAAAATAAATGGGAAAACTCTGAAAACTGTTGAAGTGCTAAGTAATTCATTCTCATCATCTTTGACTTACTTCTTTGAATCTCTTCTACAATGAAGGGATCAAATCTAATTTTGTCAATACTTTCATCCAAACAGTATGTTTTATAAATCTTCTGCAATTCTTCATGAAGAGACAGCATTTCATCATTTGATAATTCTGGTCGTAAAATTCTATCATTAAATTCCTCTAACAAACGAGGAAAAGAAGAAAAAATAATTTTAATATAAAACTATTTATGAAAACTTCACAGTCCCATTCTAATTGCAGCCAATATTAAAAGCAGCAATTAGAAGCAATCTAATTCATCTAAGTTTTTAAAAAATTTTTGAGAGTAAAATAACTACTCAATAAGAGAAATACCATCAACCAATTTTTATAGATTAATAGAAAATAAGTAAATACATAAAAAGCAATACAAATATGCAAAAATTCAGAACACTAAACACACTTCTAACAGTTTCCTTAAAGACCAATATTAGATTAATTTATGATACCAAAAGTCTTTCATTATTTCAAAATCTGTTTTACTAATTAAAAATAAAAATGATGACTTTAGTTCCAATCAATGTTTGTAAACAACATTTTTCTCCACCATGAACGCTGCAAACTAGTGGCAGAAGTGACAGCTTGAACAAATGAATGTTTATTCAAAAATAAAAGATGATAGTATTAGGATAGCCAAAATGCCAATTGTTTTTTCTTTTTATTCTAAGCTGTTATAATAAGGAGTTTACCTTTTACTTCTTAATCATTCACACTGAAACATAAAGTGGAAAAAAGGGATTAAAAAAAACTGAAACACAGCGTATAAGATTTGTGAGGCAATAGAATACAACTGTCATTCCTGTATGACTTAATAAGCATATAACTGGAGTTGTAAAAGACGAGAAAATGGGGCGGAATATTTGAAAAGAGAGCCAGGAATTTTCAAAATTGATTAAAGGTCAGGTTTGGTGTCTTATGCCTGTAATTCCAGCACTTTGGGAGGCTGAGACTGGAGGATCGCCTGAGCCCAGATGTTCAAGACCAGTCTGGGCAACATAGTGAGACCATGTCTCTACAAAGAAATTAGCCAGGCATGATGGTGTCCACCTGTAGTCCCAGCTACTTTCGAGGCTGAAGCAAGAGGATTATTTGAGCTCAAGAAGTTAAGGTTGTATTTTATGAGCCATGATCATGCCATCTTTTCAAACAGACAAAAGCTAAGAAAATTTATCTCCAGCATATTTGTACTATAATAACTATGAAAAAGATTTCTTTCAGCAGAAAGAAACAGCATTAGAAACCTGGTTCTGCAAAACTAAATTAAGAATACTGGGACAGTAAATACGCCAATAATTATAAGGACTTTTAAAAATGAATGTGTGTGTGCATTTCACATGTGTGTAGATTTCTGATGACAATTTAATGAAGAAACAATGTACTGTGGGTTTATAGCCCATGCAGAATTAAAATAAATAACAAAAGGAGCACAAAAGGCAGGACGGGATGATCTGAGGTACACTGAGGTTCTTACATTGCTCCTGAAGCAGTAAAATATTTTTAAATTCATTCTATGATAAATGAAAGAAACATATTATAATCTCTAATCAATGACTTAAAAAAGGCCAGAACAGACTTGAAAAGTCAATAGGAGAGATAAAACAAAATACTAAAAAAATTTCAAGAAAGTCAACAAAGGAGGAAAAAAAAAGCAATGAATATACAGGACAAATATAAAACAAACACCAAGATGGAAGCCCTAACAATAAACATATAATAAATACATCAAGTGTAAATGTACTACAGATACCAATTAAAAAGCAAAGATGACTTAGTTTTTTTTTTTTAAAGCAAGAGCAGCTACATGCTGCTTACTAGAAATACATTAAACATTTCAATCAGATAGAAAAAGATATACAAATGCACACCTAAGTATAAAGAAAGATGATGTGGCCATATTAATATCAGACAAAGTAGACTTCAAGACTGAAAATTAACAGATACAAGAGAGAAGCATTTTATAATGATAAAAGGATAAAGTTATTACGAAGATACAACAATCTTAAACGCGTGTGCACCTAGTAATAAAGTTTAAAAGATATATGTTTTCATACAATGGAATACCACTCAGCAAAGAACAAACTACATATTTATTCATCTATTTTTGAGACAGAGTGTCACTCTGTCACCCCTGGATGGAGTGCAATAGCATGGTTTCAGCTCACTGCAACCTCCACCTCCCGAGCTCAAGCGAGTCTCTTGCCTCAGCCTCCCAAGTACCTGGAATTACAGGCATGAGCCAACAGGCCCAACTAATTTTTGTATTTTTGTCAAGACAGGGGATCACCATTTTGTCCACATTGGTCTTGAACTCCTGACCTCAAGTGATCCACCTACCTCAGCCTCCTGAAGTGCTGGGATTACAGGAATGAGCCACCACGCCTAGCCCAAATTACTTATTTAGACAAAAACATATATGAACCTTAAAAAGCATTATCCTGAATGAAGGAAGCCAGGGACAAAAGACTATATGTTATGTGATTCCATTTATATATTTAAAAAAATTATACAGGCAAAACTAATCTGTGGTGAGAGAAATGAGACCAGTGATTGCTTTGGCAGGAGTAGGTGGAAAGGGTGGATCTCTTGGGAAGGAGCCTAAGGGAACTTTCTGGGCTGACGGAAATAAATGTTCTGCATCTTGATAAAGATGCAGGTTACATGGATGTACACATGTGTAAAACTGATCAAACTATACGTTTAAATTCTACGAGTTTCACTATATAAATTATACCTCAATTTTTTTAAGTTATATTTTAAAAAGAAATTAAATGCATTAAAAATAAACTTCATAGTTTATAAAGTTTTTTGTAAATCCAATGATCTATAATGCTAGAGAGCTTATAATCAAAATCAGACATTTTTATACTTGATATTTTAATCAAAACAATACTATACAAAAACTGTGAACAAGTGATATTGATAAGGGCTACAGTTTGGGTCTTTGATATATGTTCTATATATATATATGTATATGTGTGTGTATGTGTATATACATATATGTATATATTTTATATGGAGTTTTACTCTTGTCGCCCAGGCTAGAGTGCAGTGGCTCAATCTTGGCTCATTGCAAACTCTGCCTCCCAGGTTCAAGTGATTCTCCTGCCTCAGTCTGCCAAGTAGCTAGGATTGCAGGCACCAGCCACCACACCCAGCTAATTCTTGTATTTTCAGTAGAGACAAGGTTTCACCACATTGGCCAGGCTGGTCTCGAACTTCTGACCTCAGGTGATCCACCCCCTTTGGCTTCCCAAAGAGCTGGGATTATAGGCGTGAGTCACTGCACCTGGCCTTATATTGTATTTTTAGTAGTTTTTTTCTTTTTCTGCTACTAGGATTTGAACAAAGTCAATGACAGATTATTTCCCAATATGGAAAGGAGTGAGCACTTGAGAGAAACTCACAGACGCTCTTAGAAAATCTAGTATATGAAATTTAGTACATTGATAGATGGGTACCACAACATCAGATATGATTTAAAATATTCAAGTACATTAAAAGGTTTAAAAATGACTTTCGTAAAATACACAGGTAAGCCTCACCCACAGTCAAACAAAACTGCAACACGTGCACCGCTCCTTCTTGTTTCAGAAAGTTCATAAAACGAAATAAAAGATCTTGTTGCTCTCTGATTTGCTTCAATTCTAACTTCAGCACCTTAATATAAGAGAAAGAGTAGGTTTAAGCTATATAAATGAGTTCTAAAATTGTTTTTATCAAAAAAATGTTACTGCTGAAAATGCTTACAGATGGCTTTTTATTTCTAGGTTCTGCAAATTTCTGCAAGAATGGAACCAAAGGAGAAGCTGGTTCAGTTGCTTTTTCAGGCTTTGAAAGAAAGAAAATCATTAACTCAGTAAAATTCCCACCTGATTTGACATATACAATCAAAATTCAATGCAATCTGAAGTGTTTTCTAATATATTCAATACTCACTGGACTGTCATCTATGAAGATGATAAGCAAATGATTCACAGTATCCTAATGGAAAATAATAAATGTAAATCAAAATAATTCCATTACTGCATTTTCCCCAAAATTCTCCTAACTTGTATCATTATTATGAAAGTTTCTAGAAAAATGAAGAAACAAATGGAGCAGTGGCAAAAAATCTGCACATATGTATTATAGCAGGAGTTTTTTTTACATCTACAAAAGAGGTTCTTAACATTTGTGAAAATCAGCAAATAAAAGCTATTCTAATTTTGGCATTTAAAATATTTCTAAATCATTCTTGTTTCTTCAGAATCTTACTGGTTTAAAAGTAGAAGCATCTGAAGTACCCATCAATGGATGAACATCCAAAGTGTCCATCAATGGATGAAAATAAAACATGTTATACACATACAACAGAATACTACTCTGCCTTGAAAAGGAAGGAAATTTTGACACATCCTACAACATGGATGAATCTTGAAGACATTATGCTAAATGAAATAAGCCAGTCATAAAAAGACTAATACTGTATGATTCCATTTATATGTAGTACCCAGAGTAGTCAAATTCATGGAGACAGAAAGCAGAATGGTGGTTACCAGGAGGGCTGGAGGGAGGAAGGAATGAGGAGTTATTGCTAACAGGTGTAGAGTTTCAGTTTCATAAGAAGAAGAGTTCTGGAGATGGAGAGTGGGGATGGTTGCACAACAATATGAATGTTTTCCGTATCACTGACTATACGCTTAAAAATCTTTAAGATAGTAAATTTTATATTAAGTGTACTTTGTAACAATTAAAAAAAAAAATGTTTAAGTCTTACTGGATCAGCTAGGAAATCCAAAGAAGGAAGGAACACAGAGCCAGACAGGATCTCTCTTATAAGTAAGGTCAGAGATCTGAAAAAATAAATAATAATAATTGTTTACATTTAGTAATTTATAAAGTTCTTAACTTTCAACTGCATATAAATTACCTAAGATTCTGCATTTCTAACAAACTGTCAACCAACATTCATGCCACCGGTCTGCAGACCACATGTTGAATAGCAGAGAGTCAGATTTCTTACTTGGCCAAAAGAGAATATTATTTAAGAGAAAAAAAGTATTCCCTTAACAGGAACTTGGGGGACACTAGAAAATACTTTCTATCGGCCAGGCACAGTGGCTCACACCTGTAATCCCAACACTTTGGGAGGCTGAAGTGGGCGGATCACGAGGTCAAGAGTTCTAGACCAGCCTGACCAACATGGTGAAACCCCGTCTGTACTGAAAACACAAAAATTATCTGGGTGTGGTGGCACATGCCTGTAATCCCAGCTACTGGGAGTCTGAGGCTGGAGAATTGCCTGAATCTGGGAGGCAGAGGTTGCAGTGAGACGAGATCACATGACTGCACTCCAGCCTAGGCCACAGAGCAAGATTCCATCTCAAAAAACTTTAAAAAATTTTTAAAAATCAAGAAAATACTTTTCTAAGAATACTTAAATGTTTAATATATATTTAAATTAATGCTTAAGATAATTATAGTAATTACCTTATAATCCTATTTGTTACTATTATAAACTAGTGTAGTATAAAAATCATGTAATTCAATACATTAAAATTTTTTTTTTTTTTTTTTTTTTTTGAGACGGAGGTTTCACTCTTGTTACCCAGGCTGGAGTGCAATGGCGCGATCTCGGCTCACCGCAACCTCCGCCTCCTGGGTTCAGGCAATTCTCCTGCCTCAGCCTCCTGAGTAGCTGGAATTACAGGCACGTGCCACCATGCCCAGCTAATTTTTTGCACCTTTAGTAGAGACGGGGTTTCACCATGTTGACCAGGATGGTCTCGATCTCTTGACCTCGTGATCCACCCGCCTCGGCCTCCCAAAGTGCTGGGATTACAGGCTTGAGCCACCGCGCCCGGCCTACATTAAAATATTTTTAAGAACAAAATGAAAATGTGAAAACAAAAAGTAATATTTAAAGCACATCACTAAATATTTTAGTGATAAAATACTTATTTTAAAATATATTGATATGATAAATATTTTAGTGATAAATAAGTATTTTAGTGATATGTAAAGTACATCACTTTACATATCATTACAAATAAGCCATGGTTGCCAGGTGCCGTGACTCATGCCTGTAATCCCAGCACTTTGGAAGGCCAAGGTGGGCAGATCATGAGGTCAGGAGTTCGAGATCAGCCTGGACAACATGGAGAAGCCCCATTTCTACTAAAATTACAAAAATTAACTGGGCATGGTGGTGCTTGCCTGTAGTCCCAGCTACTCAGGAGGCTGAGGCAGAAGAATCACTTGAACTCGAACCCAGGAGGTGGAGGTTGCAGTGGGCTGAGATCATGCCACTGCAGTCCAGCCTGGGCAACAGAGTGAGACTCTGTTTCCTCTAAGGGCTATTACGGTAAGAGTAACAAGGTAACTTATGGAATAATCTAAACATGGTCCAGCCAGAAAAAGGGAGAAAAGACTAGACGATCTCCAATTCTTCTTCCCAGCTGGATACCTTGAAACATAAACTTACCTATATAGGTTGTTCAAGTGTGTCTGCCTATTATCATGTACATATCTTTAAAGGGGAACACATGAAATAAAATATAATGTATATTTTAAAATATAAAATAACAAAAATAATTTTCCTCATATTTATCTTTTATGTCCAAGATCAGTTTGTTTGTTTGTTTGTTTTTCTTGAGACAGTTTTGCTCTTGTTGCCCAGTGCAATGGCATGATCTTGGCTCACTTTAACCTCCGCCTCCCAGATTCAAGTGATTCTCCTGCCACAGCCTCCCAAGCAGCTGGAATTACAGGCAAGCGCCACCATGCCCAGCTAATTTTGTACTTTTAGTAGAGACGGGGTTTCTCCATGTTAGTAAGGCTGGTCTCAAACTCCCAACTGCAGGTGATACACCTGCTTTGGCCTCCCAAAGTGCTGGAATTATAGGCATGAGCCACTGTACTGGGCCATATGTCCAAGATCAATTTTAAAGAAAAATTCTAAGCAACACAACACACCACAAATAGCACTTAAATTGGCATTTTAAGACCATAATAAATAATAAATTATACATTAATAATTTAATAAATTTTTTCCAAATGAAAAGCTGTTCACAGGCTAACCTCAAGTTTTAGTATACTTATATCATAGTAAAAAACAGCAATATACATACGGCATGATATGCAAATACTACTATATTGTCTAGTCTTTTTATACCTGCAATCTGTTGCTTTAGGAGGCAAAATATAAGGAAAAAGCAGTTCCGTAAGTTTCCTTAAATAGTGTAATTCATCTCTTCGACTTCTCAAAGCCACATGAAGCTCTGGACCATATTCTTCTAAAGCAGCTTGCTGTAAAAACTCTGTATTTTTTACTATAAATAGAGATTAAAGATAAATATTGAAACAAGTTAAGTGACATTAAATACTTTCGGTCATTTCCACTAACAATAGAAGAGCATGGGCTGGACATCTTGGCTCGCGCCTGCAATCCCAACACTTTGGGAGGCCAAGGTAGGCAAATCACTTGAGGCCAAGAGTTCAAGACCAGTCTGGCTAACATGGCGAAATCCCATCTCTACAAAAAATACAAAAATTATCCAGGTGTGGGGGCACATGATTGTAGTCTCAGCTACTCAGGAGGCTTAGGCAGAAGATTCACTTGAACCTGGGAGGCAGAGGTTGCAGTGAATGGAGATATATTTTTTTTTTAAAAAAAGCATGAAACCGAGTCATTCCTTTCCTAGCCTCTTTTCAACGTGCATTCTTTGAGAAGCCTATTTACTTTGAAATAAATTGATAAATGGACCCTTTGTAAACAGGAATTTAAACTCATGTCTCTACAAGTTATAAAATAATAGCAAATGATTAAGTGGAAAAAATTGGAGAAAACAACTTTCACAACTTCTAGCACACATAAGGCTTTTGTTACCAAATGCTGTATCTTCTTTATCCTCTCCAAAAGCAAAACCTATCCTACACAAAATTATTATTTTTTTTGAGACAAGGTCTCGCTGCATCACCCAGGCTGGAGTGCTGTGGTGCAATCTCAGCTCACTGCAGCCTCGACCTCAAGTGATCCTCCCACCTGAACCTCCAGAGTAGCAGGGCCCACAGGTACTCCTGTGCCCAGCTAATTTTGGTATTTTTTTGTAGAGATAGCGTTTTGTCATGTTGCCAGGCTGGTCTCAAACTGAACTGAAGCAATCTATTCACCTTAACCTCTCAAAGTGCTGGGACTATAGGCCTCAAAAGTCTTTTTTTTTTTTTTTTTTTTTGAGACGGAGTTTTGCTCTTGTCCCCCAGGCTGGAGTGCAATGGCATGATCTCAGTTCACTACAACCTCCACCTTCCAGGTCCAAACAATTCTCCTGCCTCGGCCTCCCGAGTAGCTGAGATTACAGGCATCTGCCATTACCTCCAGCTAATTTTTATATTTTTTGTAGAGAGGGGTTTCACCACTTTGGCCAGGCTAGTCTGAACTCCTGACCTCAGGTGATCCACCTGCCTTGGCCTCCCAAAGTGCTGGGATTCCAGGCATGAGGCACTGCGCCCAGCCTCAAAATTCTTTAACTGCATCTGCTTCACATCTATGTAACCTTTTAAAGCACTTACAGTATCAAAATATGCCCTCAGCCATCAGACAAAACAAACTCCCCCTAGCTAACTGAGAAACTCAAATTTAAAATACAACTAGGTTGTAGCTGGTAAGGTAGCACTTACATAGGCTGTGTTCTCAGAAAGATGCTGTGAAATTTTTTCCATAGGACCTCCCTTTCGACAATCAAGCAAAACCAGTTCCTGCTGTTGGATGCTAAGATAAACTGTGGCCAGAAACCCCAGCCCCTAGAAGCTATTTCAAAGAAACATCTGGCAGATTTCTGGTTTGGGGCCTGGAAACCAAACAATCAGAGGCTCACGTGAACCAAACAACCTAAGCTCACCTGTCCCAGCCAATCAGGATTCAGCTGTATCAACCAATCAGAATTCAGTTGCACTGACCAATCAAGATTTCAATCCTTCATCTGCATAAACAGGCCCGATTGGGAACCTGGGGAGGAACTTTTGCTATAAAACCAGGAACACTCTCTTTGTTCTCTGAAATGCACCTTTGTTTTACACTGAAGGCTATGTTTTCCTGGTTTGCAAACTGTCCCTGAAACAAAGTGTATACTCCCAAATTCCTTTTCAGAGAACTTGTGTTCACAGTAAAATGTGGCTTCACTGGTTAAGTTGTGGCTCTTCAGCCCAGAGCATAGGACATCAGAAATATAAAACTGTTTCAAGTAGAAGCCCATGAAAGGATAGATTTCTTAATAAACATTAACTGATAATAAAAGTTATGTTAACAAAGTTTTTTTTTAGGCCGGGTGTTAACTAATATTTTCAAGTGTAAAATTAATAGTATTGTCTCCTTTTTACAGACCTGAAAAGACTAAGTAGAAAGGCAAGTGATGCTTTTCCCTTTCTGCACTCTGTGTAGAGTTTTCACATCATGGAGTTTGTGTTGGGAATCTTAACCCTAACTCAATGGCATTTATTTTAGAACTATTTCCTTCTATTTTTATTGAAATAGAATGCAAGCATATTCATATACACAAAAAGGCATTATATGCATTCCAACAGTGTGAGTACTGAAATGGAGCAGTAACTCCTCTTAGGAGCCTGCCAGGAACCCCAGCAGGAAAATAAAGGAAAACGTTTGAGTCCCTTTAAGGGAAATTGCAGGCACCTAGCTAACCCTACAACTAGCAATTAGGAGGGTGAGTGTGTGGCTCATACCTGTAATCCCAGCACTTTGGGAGGCTGAGGTGGGTGGATCGCCTGAGGTTAAGAGTTCAAGACCAGCCTGACCAACATGGAGAAACCCTGTCTCTACTGAAATACAAAATTAGCCTGGTGCGGTGGCATATGCCTGTAATCCCAGCTACTTGGGAGGCTGAGGTAGGAGAATCGCTTGAAACCAGGAGGTGGAGGTTGCAGTGAGCTGAGATTGCGCCACAGCACTCCAGCCTGGGCAACAAGAGCGAGACTCTGTCTCAAAAACAACAATAAAACGGCATTTGCTGAGCACCTTGTATATTCATGCACTGTGCCAGAACTGAGCATGTGACTGATTGGTTTCACAATGCAGCTCTTCTTGATTTAATTGCTTTAATTTTCCAGAAAAAAAAAGCGGGGGAGGGAGGCAAATAAACTGATAATTACATTTAACTTCAAATCTACCTATAGAATAATTTCTCAAAATGCTTTCTGATTAAAATAATTGATACTATGTGGGAGGGATAAATGGTTCCATGCTCAAATGAATTTGGAACGTGCTAGGTTGAAGTTAAAGCTATTTCACTACTGCAAAACTACCCAGAGCTTTTGGTGTGCTCCTACCTATGGGAATTTTTACAAGGGGAATACAACAGTAATTAACAAAAGATATGACCATAAAACCTCTTCTGGTCATATGGTCTTGTATGTAGAGTGGTATTCTGCAGAACATACTTTAGAAACCATTGACAAAAAAGAATACCAAATGTAAATACAAAGGAAATCTCAGTTTCACAAAGAACTTAGTGCATAGAAGTAGTTTTATTAAAAAGAAACATTTTAGAGCTTGATCTTAGAGCATGAAAAGTTTCAAATGAAGATTCCACTCACTCAATCAAAAAAGATCCTGCAGGATATGATAAAAAGAAAAGGAGGAAAGGAAGGAAGAAAGGAAGAAAAAACATTTAATGAACACTTGCTGTGTGCAAATCATGACCGTAAAAAGGACAGAACACACGTAAGAACCAGCAAATAGGTCGTCCTGGCTAAAGCATAATACCGAAGACTGGATCTAATATCTGACTAGATAGAAAAGGAATCAAATACACAATTTAGATGTTATGATAGTTATTAAATTTTTTTTTTAGTAGAACGACAACATGAGACTTGTCATATCACGAAAGTAAACTAGAGCAATGTATAGGATGGGCTAGAATAGGTCAAAACCATTGAAATTAAGGAGGAAGGGAGAGGAGAAATGAAAGATACCAGAGAGAAACAGATTATCATTCAAAAAACGATGAGAGTGTAAACAGTAAAGTTAACTTTTATTTTAATTTTCAAAGGTTCTCGAGTTTTCACACATTATTAGAAAACTACTGAAAGAGATTTCAGTTTAAAAGAATACTCTAACAGCAACTGTGAATATATAAGTTAATGAATTAGTACTCATAATTAGATATTTCAGGTAAAAAATGGTGTATAAAAACAAAATCACTCGAATTGTAGTAGAAAACTGTATTACCTTTCTGTCTGGCTTTAACTATCACTTCTATATGCTTCATTGCTGCTTTTAATAGTTTCTTGGTTATAATGGATGGAATATCCACCTAGAAAAATTCAACATTAAAACTTTTTAAATAATTATCACCAAGTTATAATGGCAGGTACACCACAATTATGATATTGCAATATATCTTAAAAATTAAGTATTATTCAGAATCTTTCAAAAATAACACTTTATATTGCATCATACTAAAACTGTAACATTACTTTTTTAACATCAGAACAGTAAATTAATCTTAATATGCATACCCTAAATACTAAACCTTTCCCACAAAATAATTATCTTTATTCCCAGCTTGTTTCTGTATGTGTTCTTTGTATTAAATGCACTCAAGGAAAACTCCAGTAATTTATTAACCCTTGATGCTGAAATTTGTAATTAGTAAGAAATTACTTGAAAATAAACTTCATTAAGCTTACAAGATAAATCCTGCTTTGTTTTTTTGGGTTGGACAGGTTCTCACTCCGGCTACCCAGGCTGGGGTACAGTGGCACCATCTCGGCTCACTGCAGTCTCCATCTCCCAGGCTCAATTAAATTGAGAAAAGGAGGATTCTCCCATCTCAGCCTCCCAAGTAGCTGGGAACACAGGAGAATGCCACCACACCCAGATAATTTTTTGTACTTTTTAGTAGAGATAGGGATTCACGACGTTGCCCAGGCTGGTCCCTGACACCTGGACTCAAGTACTCCACCTTAGTCTCCCAATAGTCTCCCAAAGCGCTGGGATTAAAGGCATTAGCCACCGTGCCCAGCATGAATCCTGGTTTTAAGATATATGGAGCCAGGTGCAGTGGCTCACGCCTGTAATCCCAACACTTTGGGAGGCCGAGACGGGCGGATCACGAGGTCAAGAGATCGAGACCATCCTGGCCAACATGGTGAAATCCCGTCTCTACTAAAAATATAAAAATTAGCTGGGCATGGTGGTATGCACCTGTAGTCCCAGCTACTCGGGAGGCTGAGGCAGGAGAATTTCTTGAACCTGGGAGGCAGAGGTTGCAGTGAGCCAAGATTGCGCCACTGCACTCCAGCCTGGCACCTGGCAATGGAGCAAGATTCTGTCTCAAAAAAAAAAAAAAAAAAAGATACATGGAAACACTCTATTTTAGAATAAAATTAAGTTTCATTATTACCCTCCAAGATTTTTCAACCTAAAGGCTAGAAGCTGCAGTGATCATAGGAGGTTAGTGAGGGAGGGCTGAGGGCTTATATGCACACACAGAAAACAAGAAAAAAGTTACTAAAAATAAATTATAAATAAATCACTAGAAAGCATATTTATTGAACTTCAACAGGCTTATCTTCCACTATAAAATTTAATACATTATATATTTCCTCTATCAAAGGAATGAGAAAATTCCATCACAATAACGTCAATTTTTGAATTCTTTTTAAATTCCACATTAAGGAAAGGAACAAAATCCCAGGGTGATAAATCTAGTAAGTATGATGGATCATAAACCCCCAAATTTAATGACTTGCTGATAAAACCCAGATCAAACGCATTCAGTAAGAGGGGATATTCTTGCTAGTATTGCTAGCCTCACTGAAAGTAACATCACTCTGCATTTGCCCTTGGCCACTTGGTACTCGCTTATAAATTACTCTCATATTTATCAAATAAGCAAGATGTTTTAGTTTTCAAACATTTTGTAAAGTCTTGTCTTCTGAGAATACTCAGTAAGATTTTTATTTGTTAAGTTCCACTTTAGGGAATTCAGGTCAGAATTAAAATGGTAAAATAATGGGTTTGTCACTAAACTTTGATTTTTAAAAAATTCTATACCCTAAATGATTCTTTGTTTTCATTATCCCCAAACTTCCAATTTACATTACACAGTCAACAAAAATCACAAACAGAACACTGTAGAAGTTGTAAGATCATCCAGGCCTAATTAATCTTTTGCCCATTAGCAACTGCTAACACTTTGACAAAGTTAATACCTTTCTATAAAATGAATATAATAATGACCCATTTACCTTCCAGGATAGTGATGCAGATAAAATAGGAAGAATTTATAGTATAATTCAGAAAATCGCAGAAAATATTTTGCAAATAATTTACCTGATAAAGGACGTATATCAATATAAAGAACTTTTACAACTCAGTAATAATAATAATTTTTAAAAACCCAGTTAAAATGCAGGTAAAGAATCTGAATGGACATTTCTTCAAAGAAGACCGACAGATGGCAAATAAGCATAAAAGTTGTTGAACATTACTGGCATCAGAGAAATGCAAATCCAAGCCACAGTGGAATACTATGTCACATCTACTAGGATGGTTAGAATAAAAGAGTGAGATAATAACTAGTTCTGGCAAGTACGTGGAGAAGTAAGAGATTCTCATATACTGCAGATGGGAATGTAAATGGTGAAGCCACTTTGGAAAATAGTCTGGCAGTTCATCAAAGTGTTAGATATAGAGTTACCATTTGATCCAGCAATTGTACTCCTATGTATATAACCAAGATGAGTGAAAATATATATCCAACAACAAAAAAAATCTGTACACAATTGCTAATAGGTATGTAATACACAAAAGGTGGAAACAATACAAATGTCCATCAACTGATGAATGGATAAAAAAAATGTAGTACATTCACACAATGGAATATCAGCCATAAAAAGAATGAAATATTGTTACATGCTACAACATAACATGGATAACTCTTGAGAACATTATGCTGAGTAAAAGAAACCAGTCACAAAAGGCCACATATTGTATGACACCATGTGTATAAAATGTCCAGAACAGATATACAAATCCATAGATATACAAAGCAGATTTGTGGTTGGCTATGAATGAAGGGATAGAATGGTTGGTGTTTATGGCCAGAGAGTACAGGTCTCTTTCTGGATGATAAAAATGTTCTAAAATTGACTATGAGGATGGTTGTACAACTGTGCATATGCTAAAAACCATCAAATCATACACTTTAAGTGGGTGAATTACATGATATATAAATTATAATCTCAATAAAACCATTCTTAAAATACAAATACATACATATAAAACACTCCAAGTATGAGGTACTATTAATTTGAATCCACCAAGCTATCCCAAAGCCTAACATATGTCTGGCACAGTGGTTCACACCTGCAATCCCAGTACTTTGGGAGACCAAAGTGGGTGAATCACTTGAAGTCAGGATTTCGAAACCAGCCTGGCCAACATGGTGAAACTCTGCCTCTACTAAAAATATAAAAATTAGCCGGGCGCACTGGCAGGCACCTGTAATCCTAGCTACTCTGGAAGCTGAGACAGGAGAATCACTTGAACCCGGGAGAGAGAGATTGCAGTGAGCCGAGATGGCACCACTGCACTCCAGCCTGTGTGACAAAGTGACACTCCATCTTAAAAAACAAACAAACACACTTTGGGAGGCCGAGGCGGGTGGATCACAAGGTCGAGAGATCGAGACCATCCTGGTCAACATGGTGAAACCCCGTCTCTACTAAAAATACAAAAAAATTAGCTGGGCATGGTGGTGCGTGCCTGTAATCCCAGCTACTCAGGAGGCTGGGGCAGGAGAATTGCTTGAACCCAGGAGGCGGAGGTTGCGGTGAGCCGAGATAGTGCCATTGCACTCCAGCCTGGGTAACAAGAGCGAAACTCCGTCTCAAAAAAAAAAACAAACAAACAAACAAACAAACAAAAAGAGGCTGGGCATGGTGGCCCATACCTGTAATCCCAGCACTATGGGAGGCTAAGGCAGGTTGATCATCTAAAGTCAAGAGTTCCAGACCAGCCTGGCAAATATGGTGAAACTCAGTCTCTACTAAAAATACAAAAAATCTTAGCTGGGCAGTACTGGCACACACCAGTAATCCCAACTATTTGTAAGGCTGAGGCAGGAGAACTGCTTGAACCCAAAACGCAGAGGTTGCAGTGAGCCAAGATTTCTCCACTGCACTCCAGTCTGGGTGACAGAGTAAGACCCTGTCTCAAAAAAAAAAAAAAAAAAAGCCTAACATAGCAGAATTGTTCTATTAACTATTGTTTATTAGCTAATTGTAATATGGTAATCAAAATTAATTTGATAAATCAATTTTTACTTATTCCAAAGTATAACTTAAATGGTTTGACATCAAACCTGACAAAAACAAGCAATGGGAAAAGGAGTCCCTCTTTAAAAAACGGTGTTGGGAAAACTGGCTAGCCATGTGCAGAAAGCAGAAACTGGACCCCTTCCTGACACCTTACACTAAAATTAACTCCAGATGGATTAAACACTTAAGCAGAAGACCTAACACCATAAAAACCCTAGAAGAAAATCTAGGCAAGACCATACAGAACTTAGGCGTAGGCAAGGACTTCATGACCAAAACACCAAAAGCATTGGCAACAAAAGCCAAAATACACACATGGGACCTAATCAAACTCTACAGCTTCGGCACAGCAAAAGAAACAGTCATCAGAGTGAATCTGCAACCAACAGAATGGGAAAAAATTTTTGCAATCTAACCATCTGACAAAGGGCTGATATCCAGAATCTACAAAGAACTAAAACAGATTTACAAGAAAAAAACAAACAAGCCCATTCAAAAGTGGGCGAAGGATATGAACAGACACTTTACAAAAGAAGACATATATGAGGCCAACAAACATTTGAAAACATGCTCATCATGACTGGTCATTAGAGAAATGCAAATCAAAACTACATTGAGAGATCATCTCATGCCCATTAGAATGATGATCATTAAAAAAATCTGAAGACAACAGATGCTGGAGAAGATGTGGAGAAATAGGAACACTTTTACACTGTTGGTGGGAGTGTAAATTAGTTCAACCACTGTGGAAGACAGTGTGGCAATTCAATGACCTAGAAACAGAAATTCCATTTGACCCAGCAATCCCATTACTGGGTATATAGCCAAAGGATTATAAATTGTTCTACCATAAGGACACATGCACACAAATGTTCATTGCAGCACAGTTTACAACAGCAAAAACCAGGAACCAACCCAAATGCCCATCGATGATAGACTGGACAGGGAAAATGTGGCACATATACACCATGGAATATTATGCAGCCATCAAAAACGATGAGTTTGTGTCCTTTGTAGGGACATGGATGAACCTGGAAACCATCATTCTCAGCAAACTGACACAAGAACAGAAAATCAAACACCACATGTTCTCACTCATAGGCAGGTGTTGAACAATGAGAACACACGGACACAGGGAGGGGAGCATCACACACTGGGATCTCTCGGGGTGGGGGGGAAATATGGGAGGGACAGCAGGGGGTGGAGAGTTGGGGAGAGATGGGGAGAAATGCATGGGGAGAAATGCCAGATGTAGGTAATGGGGAGGAAGGCAGCAAATCACACTGCCATGTGTGTACCTAAGCAACAATCTTGCATGTTCTTCACATGTACCCCAAAACCTAAAATGCAATTTAAAAAAATGGTTTGTCATCAACTAATTGATATTTCTTACTAAATCTTTCATTCCACTTAAATATTATGAGACAATTATCCAAGACTTTTTAAAACAATGTGATTACTGTTTATCGACTATTTTCAAAAGTGATAAATGTTAAATACAATAGAAAAAGACAAATATAAAGAAGTGCATGGAAAAAAAACAAAATCAGCATCAGCTCACCATCACAATAAAAGTTAACAGTGATAAGGAGGTATATGTCCTTAATATATGTATTAACAAGCTTCAATATATGAACTTTGTTTTCAAAGTAGAAATATAACACATATTAGTTTCCAAACTATTCCACTTGATTGTTTCTTTTTTCTTTTGTATATTTGATTTTCCCCCCTTTTTATTTCCAACTTTTATGTTAGGGTCAGACAGTACATGTGTAGGCTCGTTAAATGAGCAAACTGCATGTCATGGGAGTTTGGTCTACAGATTATTTCATCATGCACGTAATGAGCACAGTACCCAGTATTTTTTTATCCTCATCTTCCTCCTACTCTCCACCCTCAGTAAGCCACTATGTCTATTGTTCCCTTCTTTATGTCCATGTGTACCCAATGTTTAGCTCCTAAATGAGAACCTCTAATATTTGATTTTCTGTTCCTGTGTTAATTCATTTAGGATAATGGCCTCCAGCAGCATCCATGTTGCTGCAAAGGAGAAGGTTTCATTCTTTTTTATGGCTGTGTGGTACTCTATGGTGTATATGTACAACATTTGCTTTATCCAGTCCACCACTGATGGGTATCTATGTTGATTTCATGTCTACAATTTATATTCATTTGAATTCTGTTCTAAGTTATTTTAGAAATCTCCTAACTGCTTTCCAGAATGGCTTAACTCATTTACTTTTCCACTAGCAGCATATACACATTCCCTTTACTTAACAATTTAAGATGAATATGTTCCCATGAAAACAAGTATTATTCTACAAAATGATTGTTCATGGTTGTATAGAATTCTGTAATTAGGATGTATTATATTTACTCTAACAATCTTAGTAGCCATTAATTTTTCTTTTCGGTTTTACTTATAAATTATACTGCAATAAATCTTTGAACATACCTTTTTATACATATCTTTGATTATCATAATTTTTTTTTGAAATGGAGTCTCACTCTGTAGCCCAGGCTGGAGTACAGTGGCATGATCTAAGCTCACTGCAACCTCCACATCCCAGGCTCAAGCAATTCTCCTGCCTCAGCTTCCCGAGTAGCTGGAATTACAGACACACAAACAGCTAATTTTTGTAATTTTTAGTAGAGATAGGGTTTCGACATGTTGGCCAGGCTGGTCTGAAACTCCTGACCTCAGGTGATCCACCCACCTGGGCTTCCCAAAGTGCTGGGATTACAGGCGTGAACCACCGCACCCAGTCAATTTTTTTGTATTTTTAGTAGAGACAAGGTTTCACCATGTTGGCCAGGCTGATCTCAAACTCCCGACCTAGAGTGATCTGCCCATCTCACCCACCCCAATTATAGGCGTGAGCCACCATGCATGGCCTGGAGTATAGACGTTTTTAAGTCTTAATAAAGATTACCAAACTGCCTTCAAATGTGAGAATTATACCAATTTGAATTTGAACTTGCTTTCCATACTTCACCAATACTAGATATTAACACTCTTTTTTACCTTTCCCAGTCTGATAAGTAAAAGAACAATATCTCATTAAAAAATTACATTTATTTGCCGTAAGACAACCTACTTTCAAGTATTCATTGGCCATTTTGTATCTTTTTTTGTGAACTACTATTTATGTTTTTTGCACATCTTTTCTACAGCAGTTGACTATACTGTTCATTTCTCAAATAGGTATAGAATCATTTAACAAGATTAATCTTTATTACTAGTGGAAGAGATTTTATATATATATGTGTGTGTGTGCGTGTGTGTGTGTCTGTGTGTGTGTGTGTCTGTGTGTGTTTTGAGAAAGGGTTTCACTCTGTCACCCAGGCTGGGTGGCACAATCTTGGCTCACTGAAACCTCTGTCTGCCTCCTGGGTTCAAGCAATTCTCCTGCCTTAGTCTCCTAAGTAACTGGGACTACAGGCACACACCACCATGCTTGGCTAATTTTGCTTGTATTTGTAGTAGAGATGGGGTTTCACCATGTTGGCCAGGCTGGTCTTGAACTCCTGACCTCAGGTGATCCGCCTGCCTCAGCCTCCCAAAGTGCTGGGATTAAGGCATGAGCCACTGCATCTGGCAAGATATTATATATTAATACATTGTCAATATAGTCAATTCTATTGAACTGACAAAGCAGTAGACAAGTGTGTCTAAGACAATGTTCTACAAATACATACAGGCAAAGATCCAAATATGCACAAAATATAGCTTGAAAAAAATATTTGTTTTGTTTTTTTGAGACAGAGTCTCCCTGTGTTGCCCAGGCTATAGTGCAATGGCGCAATCTTGGCTCACTGCAACCTCCACCTCCCAGGTTCAAGTAATTCTCCTGCCTCAGCCTCCCAAGTAGCTGGGATTACAGAAGCCCACCACCATGTCTAGCTAATTTTTTGTATTTTAGTATAGAGATGGGCTTTCGCCATGTTGGCCAGGCTGGTCTCAAACTCCTGACCTCAGTGATCCGCCCACCTCAGCCTCCCAAAGTGCTAGGATTATAGGCATGAGCCACCTTGCCCAGCCAAAAAAAATATTTAAAGTAGATCATAATCATTGCCGTTTACTCAATAAATTCATCTAACTGGGGCCAGGCATGGTGGCTCATGCCTGTAATTCCAGTACTTTGGGAGGCAATGGAGGGTGGATCACCTGAGATCAAGAGTTCAGGACCAGCCTGGGCAACATGGTGAAACCTTGTCTTTACTAAAAACACAAAATAAAATTAGCTGGGCATGGTGGCAGATGCCTGTAGTCCCATCTACTCAGGGAGGCTGAGGCAGGAGAACCACTTGAACCCAGGAGGCAGAGGTTGTAATGAGCCAAGATCGTGCCACTGCACTCTAGCCTGGGTGACAGAGGGAGACACCATCTCAAAAACAAAAAACATCTAACTGGAACATGACTTTTTTTCTATAGCTGTCTTTTCATTTCTAATTTCTATAAACCGGGAGATAGGAATTAAAATGAAAGAAAGCAAAACTGGGCCGGGTGCAGTGGCTCATGCCTGTAATCCCAACACTTTGGGAGGCTGAGGCAGGTGGATCACAAGGTCAAGAGATCAAGACCATCTTGGCCACCATGGTGAAATCCCATCTCTACTAAAAATACAAAAATTAGGTGGTGTGGTGGCATGGGTCTGTAATCCCAGCTACTCAAGAGGCTGAGGCAGGAGAATCCCTTGAACCAGGGAGACAGAGGTTGCAGTGAGCTGAGATCATGCCACTGCACTCCAGCCCAGGCAACAGAGCAAGACTCCATCAGAAAAGAAAAGAAAGGAAAGGAAAAGGAAAAGAAAAAGGAAAAGGAAAAGAAAAGAAAAGAGAAAAGAAAGCAAGCAAGCAAAACTGATCAATGGGCTGGGCACGGTGGCTCAAGCCTGTAATCCCAGCACTTTGGGAGGCCGAGGCGGGTGGATCACGAGGTCGAGAGATTGAGACCAACCTGGTCAACATGGTGAAACCCCGTCTCTACTAAAAATACAAAACATTAGCTGGGCATGGTGGCGCATGCCTGTAATCCCAGCTACTCAGGAGGCTGAGGCAGGAGAATTGCCTGAACCCAGGAGGTGGAGGTTGTGGTGAGCTGAGATCGCGCCATTGCACTCCAGCCTGGGTAACAAGAGTGAAACTCTGTCTCAAGAAAAACAAAAACAAAAACAAAAACAAAAACAAAAAAAAACTGAAACTGATCAATGGATCAAAAATTATTCACTAATTTTTTAACCTGAAAAAAATGAAGATAAAACAAACATAAATGGTATAGGAGAAAGTAAAAATTAAGATTTAAAATAATCTCCTACAAGATACACTTAGAAAGAGTAAGATCCAATATTTGATAATACAGGGCGACTATACATTTAAAAACAACTAAACGATTATAATTGGATTGTTTGTAACACAAAGATAAATGCTTGAGGGATGAACACCCCATTTTTCATGATGTGATTATTACTTACTACATGCCTGTATCAAAGTATCTCATGTACCCCATAAATATATATACTCACCATGTACCCACGAAAAATTGTTTTAAATCTCGTTCATTAATAATAAAGCCCCAAATCCCCAAATCTCTCATTAAAATATATACCTTGTGAATCCTTCTTATTAAGACAGATGCAAAAAACCGCAATGTTATTCTCAGTTCATCAACAAAGGATTCGTCATCTGTCACATCCCTTCAATAAGGAGAAAAACAAATATTCAGAAGTTCAGAGAAATACACAGTTTCACCTTCAAGAAAACAAGCGAAAAATTTCCTTTTTTCTGTTTACTTAACCTACTTTCCTTTTTCATTTACAAACAATATATTTCATTATAGAATAAAAGAAATGTACAAAAAAGAAAACAAACATCTACCATAATTCTAGCATCAAGACATAATCACCATTAACTAAATTGTAACATTTATTTCCTTGCACATATATGAGTACATAGTTTTATTTTTACAATACTGAGATCATGTTCTAAGCAACATCAAAGAAAGTTTAAAGTAAAACAATGAACAATTTAGGAGAAGCAATAGAATTAAATTAATACAAAATTTTTAAATAGTTTAAAATACGTAAATTCTGAAAGTTAAAATAAAGGTGTGCTCTATTTGAAAAAAAAATTAAAAGAAACTCAAACATTTTGTAAAACAGAAATTCTGACAACCTTCAGCTGAGGAGTTGCTTTCATTTTCCTGATGTTTTGAGGTCCCTAGAATTAAAACACTTCCCTAATCAAAGGCAAGAAAAGAAAGAATGATAATATCTTAAAACTTGAAAATGGTGCTAATTGTTAACTTTCTTGGCAGAATAGGAAAGATAATTGCATCAACCATGCCGCCCACTATTAACCCTAAAGAGGGGGATATTACAGCATCAATAGCTACCACTTAGAAGAAAATATATACTTTCACACTTAGAAATACAACCAACTTTTGTCTAAGTGTCATAACACAGAGATGCGAGAAGGTAAGGGAGTCTTCACAAAAGGATTCATTTCACAAAAGGCCTCACCATCAACTTTAATTAAATGGTAAATGCCAGACATTTAAGACAAATGTAAAAGATTAATTTACATAGCTTTTACATTTACATTTTTACACAGCTTTTACATGTCTTTTTACATTAACACAAATGTAAAAAAATAATTTACATAGCTTTTCAAGAAAATATGGCATAGAAACTGGATATTGCATTTGTCATAACACATTCTGGAAGAATTCAACTAGTAGCATTTTTTTTTTTTTTTTAATTAGAAAATTCAGCCAGGCGTGGTGGCTCACTTGAGGTCAGGAGTTTGAGTCCAGCCTGGGCAACATGACAAAATTCCATCTCTACTAAAAATACAAAAATTAGCCAGGCATGGTGGTACATGCCTGTAATCCTAGCTTCTTGGGAGGATGAGGTGGGAGGATCACTTGACCTGAGAGGTGAAGGTTGCAGTGAGCTGAGATCGTGCCACTGCACTCCAGTCCAGGCAGCAGAGCAAGACTCCATCTCACAAAAAAAAAAAAAAAAAAAAAAAAAAAAAAAAATTTCAAAATATACTTAATCAATATAAAATTGGGGCAGATGTCACTAAATGTCACATGTATAAGCCATAGAGATGCAAATGTTCAAATACATATACATATATATTAAACACATGATGCTTATTTAAGAAAATGTGTATTTATTAAATAAGTTGGATCTCTCTGATTCTAAAAATAAATTTCTTTCAAATCTATTTTCTGTATCTTCAAAAGTACAAGGCCCTTGTACATACGTGGCATACACCAAAAACAAAGGTACTCTGGGGCAAAAAAAAAAAAAAAACATTAATTCTCCGGGAAAACTATTGAAGTTCTCTTTCAATTTAATGAAATATGTGAATATAGATTCCCTTTCAAAAGGTACAATAATTTCAAATGTGAAAACTGAATACAAAATTATTAAATCACTACATCCAGGAGGGATAAGGAATTCTACAAGTTACTTTTGTCTCAAAATGCAGCCTAAGTTTTCTTCCTCTTTATTATCACTAAATTATTAATTAACTGATGCCTGTATCAGTGGTTCTTAACTAGGGCCAATTATGCCTTCCACGTCATATCTGGCTACCTCTGAAGACACTTTTATTGGTCAAAACTGGTGGCAGAGAGGTCTGCTACTACCTAATGGGAGAAGCCAAGGGTGCTGCTAATGATCACATAATGCACAGTACAGCCCCCACAACAAATAATTATTTTGCCTAAAATGTAAATAGTGACAAAGTTAAGAAATCCTGGTCTACACCAAAAACACATCATTAGCATGCTCAACTTAATAGTATTCACTGTATCAAAGAAAAAGATCTTATAAAAAGTACATACCTGTACCATGGATAAACAAAGTTTTCCAACACTAATTCAAGAACCTGCATAAAAATTATTTTTTAAAGAAACATTAATTAGTTTCTGGAAAATAAATGGTACTATTTGGTAATACATAACATTACCAAGAACCAATTTTATTATCACAAATAATGACAGTAGGCCAGGAGTGGTGGTCCACACCTGTAATCCCAGTACTTTGGGAGGTCAAAGCAGGTGTTCACTTGAGCTCATGAGTTTGAGACCAGCGTAGGTAACATGATGAAACCCTGTATCTACAAAAAATACAAGAATAAGCCGGGTTTAGTGGCATGCACCTGTAGTCCCAGCTATTTTGAGAGGCTGAGGCAGGAGGATCACTTGAGCCTGGGAGGCAGAGGTTGCAGTGAGTCGAGATGTTGCCACTGCACTCCAGCACGGGCGACAAGTGAGCCCTGTCACAAAAAAAAAAAAAAAAAAAAAAAACAAATAATGACAGTAAAATAAGGCTTTCACATGACAAAATGTATATTTCAACCTTATATGATTTTGAGGATCAAAGAGAACATATGAGAAAACACTTGGAAAACCATAAAAATTCCACAAATAGGAAAACTTATTATTAGAATAACATGCAAGTATTTCTAAATATTCTCATAATCAAACAAAAAGTTAAATAAATTGTTCCTGAGTCTGAAGCTTAACTGAACCAAAAGTGTGCTATGGAAAGAAGAAAAAGAGCAAGTTAGTCCTTTGCATTCCTAACTTTGTAAGTCAGTATTTTCAGAATACAATGAAGAAACAAGCAGCAAGATTTATGTAAGGGGTCAAAATTAGGTGTTATTAGGTACCTCTGAAGGAAGTATAGTGGCTAGAGGGGAACGTGAAGGGGTATTCTGGGATGCTGATAATGTTTTGTTTCCTGATCTGAATGCCAGTTACACAGATATGCTCACCTTGTGAAAATTTTACCTATACACTCAAAATCAGTACGTAAGCTAGAGGAATGAAAAAGTAACAAAATGAAATAAAACAAAACAAATCCTGGGTGTTATATCTTCCATTTCTTGGATTTGGGTGTAGCAGGATGTCATAATTTTTACAAGGAGTTGCAACATTGGGCAGTAACTTAAAAAAGCAGTAGGGAGGCCACAAAACGGCATATCTAATTTAATCCTTCCAAAATCAGATCACATACTTCTCTGGCAGCAGTAACAAAGGCTGTGAATTCTCTACTTTAAATATTAAGAGAACAATAATTTAGATTTTTTAGTACAAAAACTAAGCATTGTTTATATGAGTTGGGAAATGAAGATACATATAAACAGGGATAACAATGAATAGGATAGAGAGAAGAGACTAGAAAGAGTTATCATTAAACATTTGTTCTTCCTTTATTCCCCACATCCAATCAATCACCAAGTCCTACTGATTTTATATCCTAAGTAGTGCTCTTCTACAGCACCATTGCTTGGGTCCTCATTTTCTTACCCCTCATACTGCAGCAATGGCCTCTCACCGCCCTGCTTTCAAGCTCACTTCCCTCCATCCTAAATAGAGCTGCAGAAGTAACCTAAAACATGTATCTGACCACATCATCCTCTTTCACGAAATCCTCAATGTATCAAACCTGAATACATGAAAATAAGAAAGGTGAAACTGCACTGATTTCGAAGGGCAGCTGCTGGCATGCAGCAGCTGCATTACTTCCTTTTCACTCCCAGTGCACCCTATAAGTCTCATCTGAAAACTCAAGAAAATCACTGACTTGTAGGATCAATTAATCTAAACTCCATCAGCATAGCCCTTAAAGTCATTTGATAGTGTGATTTCTAAAGGGCCATATAAAATAGCGATTAAGAACTTAACCAGATCTGAGTTTCTGATTGAGTTCTACAATCAACCAAATATGAAACTTGAGAACATTATTAAAACCCTAAATTTCATTTACCTTTGGTAAAATTATCAATAATAGTACCCACTTCATAGGTTATATGTGGATTACATAAAATAATGCATGACCTTAGCACAGTGCCTAATATATAGTAAATATATCACTAAATATTAGCTACTAGAATATTGTTTCCTCATTGGCCACATCCTCCCTCACATTTTACTCTCCAGTTTGCTGAACCCTCTACCTTATTTCAAGCCTCTCTTTCCTTTTGAAAACTCTACCTAAATCCTGAAATACTCTTTCCCAAGTCTGGCAAATCTCTAGTTATCCGATCTGATTGTCCCTCTCAATAGTTATGTACTTCTCCTCTATATCAAGTCTATATATCTTAATTTTTTTTTGCCATTATTGCCTGCGTTAAGTTACATTGTGAATACCTGTTTATATGCCTGCCTTCGCTTCTAAAGTAGAAAGGGACCATATCTTATTTCACTTTTAATCACTACAGCCTAGCCCAGTTCCTACCTGTGAAACCTCAAAATATATTTTTAAATGTGAGAGCTAATATTTATTGAACATCAATATGTGACAGGTACTGGACCGAGAGTTTTATAAAAGTCTTTTCATTTTTTTATTTTTTTGAGACGGAGTTTCACTCTTGTTACCCAGGCTGGAGGGCAATGGCGCGATCTTGGCTCACCGCAACCTCCGCCTCCTGGGTTCAGGTAATTCTCCTGCCTCAGCCTCCTGAGTAGCTCGGATTACAGGCATGTGCCACCATGCCCAGCTACTTTTTTTTGTATTTTTAGTAGAGACGGGGTTTCACCATATTGACCAGGGCGGTCTCGATCTCTTGACCTCGTGATCCACCCGCCTCGGCCTCCCAAAGTGCTGGGATTACAGGCTTGAGCCACCGCGCCCGGCCCTAGTCTTTTCATTTTTATGAATGAATATCTGACATGTTAAAGACACAAATAATAGCTGTCAGAAGTTTTCTTCAACAGACCTCAACTTGGCACTCTCCAACAGAAATGTAAGTCACATATTAATTTTAAATTTTCCAGTAGCTACATGTTTTACAAAGTAAAAAGAAATAGGTGAAATTAATTTTACATTTCATTTAACCCAACATATCCAAAATGTTATCATTTCAACATGTAATCAGTATAAAAAATGAGATACTTTACATTCCGTTTTTCTAAGTCTTTTCTTACTAAATCTTCAAAATCCACTATATATTTCACACACAGAGCACATGTTAACTTGGACTAGCACACTTGCAGTGTTTATTAACAGCCACATGTGGCCAGTAACTACCGTATTAGACAGAATCTTATGTCAGGGTATCTTGAAGATGAAAATGGCCTTAGAGAAGAAAAGAAAAAAATGCCAATTTTAATGGGCTTTTATGCAGGATACAAAATAGGATAAAGAACAACTAAGTGGGAATTAGATGCCTACTGCTCTTCTTCAACTAATTAGCATCCAGTTTAATTCAATACACTTTGATCAGCTACCAAAAATATTCATGACCAATACTTGGTGCTAGGAACAAATGAGACCTCATTCCTTCCCTTCACGGACTTGAGTGTTTTGTCAAAACCACTGAGAAGACAAGTATCTAAAACACAGCTGGGCGTGGTGGCACATGCCTGTAATCCCAGCTACTAGGGAAGCTGAGGGAGAAGAATCGCTTAAACCTGGGAGGCAAAGGTTGCAATGAGCCAAGATCATGCCACTGCCCTCCAGCCTGGGCAACAAAAGCAAAACTCTGTCTCAAAAGATAAAATAAAAAATAAAACATGTTACCAAAAAGATACATATAAAATTTAACTATAATAAAGATATGAGAACATGCTTTCCATTCCAGTATTATGCAGAAGTAGTGAAAAATATCCCATTCCTTACTCTATACTTCAGTTAGGGTCAAAACTGGGGTCATAATTCAGTAAGATATATATCTATTTGCTCCTTGCAGTCCAGGGTTCCTTTTGGAATCACAAAATGATATTTCTACTGCCTTTATCATAAAGATTACTATCTTCATCTTTATGACTGTTTCAGGTAAAGCAGTGCTTCCCTGACTGTTTCAGGTAAAGCAGTACTTTCCTTAGCTAAAATGTATAAATTAAACATGAGATTCAAAAACATTTCTAGCTTACTATTCAAGTGGCTTAGTTTGCAATAATCAACTACCTAACCCAGAACTGATTTAGGTGATGTGTATTAATTTGTTCCATAATTAAATTATTTGGTAAAAAAATTCTGGAAAATTTTTCCACAGGCATTTAACAATTTCTGTTAATATTAAATCAGTTACCTCTGAGAGAGATGCATCAACTTTGGAAGAAATTTTCAGGTCTAGCCATGGCTGGTAGTTTTCAAGTAGCAAAGAAGGCCTAAAGAAAAATAAAAGAAAAATTATGCAACTAAATTACTTGAAATCCAAATGTAATTAGAAAGATCAACAAATAAAAAAATTTAACTTACCTATGTCGTTTACATTTCACTTTACCACAAACAGCACAGCTATGACCTTGAGGAAATAATTCCTGAAGTCCTAACTGCTAAAAAAGGAAAACAAGAGGTGGTGGAGAGAGCTATCTTTACATATTTCCAACCTTAAAGTTAAAATCAATTGTTATGTTCACTTAAAAAAAAATCTGTCTACATTTGGAAATGATAACTTGGCCAGGCACAGACAAGTGGCTCATACCTATAATCCTAGCAATCTGGGAGACCGAGGTGGGTGGATGACTTGAGCCCAGGAGTTTGAGAGCAGCCTGGGAAACATGGTAAAATCCTGTCTCTACAAAAAAAATACAAAAATTAGATGGGTATGGTGGCACATGCCTAGTCTCAGCTATCCAGGAGGCTGAGGTGGCAGGATCACCTGAGCTCAGGAGTTTGAGGCTGCAATAAGCAGCGATCCTGCCACTGCACTCTAGTCTGTGCAAATCTAGCCTGTCTCAAAAAAAGAAAGAAAGAGAAAAGAAACTGACACTCTACCTCAGAGGTATAATAAGAAAAAAACTATTTTTTCTTTCTCTAAAATCTTGAATTTAATGAAAAAGTTATGAGGTAACTACTATAGTTTCTGATAAAATACGGGGCACCACTTTCAGTTGTGTTTCCTCTGAGTAGAAATACCAACAAACCTGAGACAAGATACAACAACTTAAGGAATTATTAAGACTTAAAGATACCCCACTTGCCTTGGCCTCCTTGGGAGGCCAACACTTTGGCCTAACACTTTGGGAGGCCAAGGCAAGTGGGGTATCTTTAAGTCTTAATAATTCCTTAAGTTGAGGTAGTGCCTTGTCTCAGATTTGTTGGTATTTTGAAGGTTATGTAATCATAACACTTTAGGAGGCCAAGGCAAGTGGATCACCTGAGGTCAGGAGTTGGAGATCAGCCAAACTGGCGAAATGCCATCTCTATTAAAATTCAAAAATTAGCTGGGCATGGTGGTGTGTGCCTGTAATCCCAGTTACTTGGAAGACTGAGGCAGCAGCAATCACTTGAACTTGGGAGGCGGAGGATGCAGTGAGCCAAGATGGCACCATTGCAATGAGCCAAGATGGTGCCACTGCACTCTAGCCTGGGCAAAAGAGCAGGATTCTATCTCAGAAAAAAAGATACAACACTAAACCTTGATCTACAGACCAGAACCTTGCTTTACAGAGATAGATTCAACACATTACCACCCTTCTTTACATTTTAGAAATAAATTACTTTGGTTATGCAAACTGCCTAATTATGTTTCTATGCAACATGTAAACATTTAAAAATTTAGTATGATTAGATCATTTAACCTCAAATTTCCTGAGTCTGTGCCTCAGAATCACCCGGAAAGCTTCTAACAAGTACTGATTACATGGCTCTAACCCAGAGCTAGTCAATCAAAATATGGTGATACAGCCCAGCAATCTGTATTTTTTAATTCCCCAGGAGATTTACTATACAACCAACTTTGGGAACCTCTGATTTCATTTATTGTCCTCGTGGTTAATAGAGGACACCCTTAAATTGTGGATCCCCACTTTCTGAAAATTTTGTACCACATTTTCTTTTTACAGCTCCTCCTAGGAGAATTGCATGCCTTAAAAGCATACACATATACACATTATATTTTGAAAATTTTCTAGTAGACTTCCATTATTAAGTAATATTAGACAGATTTTTTTAAATCACTGCTTTTAGCATAGTACCTGAAAAAAGAAGAAATTTTTAAAAAATAATTTTTATAAATTAAGAAAAAAATACACTGCTTTAGCAGGCTTTCAAATAATAAATAGCTGAGGCTGATACATATTGAACGCAATAAGAACACATAATTTTACCTTGGGTTTGTATTTTATTGTGAAGAATATATTTGGCAAGAGAGAATCAGGTCCTAGTGAGCAGTAGAATGTGACAACTCCAGCAACAAATGACCAGAAGATCATTAAAACATGAAGATACCTTAAAAATAAAAGAAAATAATCATTAGAACCAAAGAAAAGGCATAATTCTAACTTACTGCTTCATGGATTTAACAAGCAGCTTCACTGATTTAACAAGCACCTACAATATCATATGAAGCAATTTTTCCAATTATGATTAATTTTCTGTAATATAGTTTTTATATACAAGAGTCATAAAATGTATGCTATCAAATATTTCATTTAAAGTATAAGGAAGCATAAATTATCAATATTTCATAATTCATATGATTAAATAGTCTACATGTTCAAATAGTCTATGTTTAAATAGTCTATACTATACCTTCTTATGATATTGTAGTATACATACTCCACCAAAATTCTGAGTATTTTTCACTACATCAAAGGAATTTTACTAGGTACCTATTTTGTTCTACACAGTGCTAGGCCTTGGGAATATAGCAAGGAACTGCACGGCATAGTCTCTACCTGCATGGAAAACACTGTCTAGTAGTGGTGACAAGTAAGTAAAAAGAACAATACAATGTGATCCATATGTGATATTACAACAGAAATTCTGTGTAATATGGGAACATCACAGGCTGATTAGTTAATTCAAATTTGAAAGAACAGAAAAGTTTTTTCAGAAAAAGCAATGTCTTAAAGAAAAAACTTAAAGGGTAAGTAGGTGCAAACAAATAGAAGAGGATGGTATAGAGGTATGGAAGACTGGGGAAGAGGCAGGGGAATTCAAACTTGAGAGAAATGCATGGGCTTAGGTCTATGTGCACATAATTCTAAGGAAGAAGGCCTTAGGTGAATCTAAAAACAAAAGCAGAAGCCAAATAATATAGTGTCATATAATAGGCAATGTATGTCTTAATACAGGCAGTCCTCACATGGCACAGTTCTGATATGCAAAAATTTCAGTTATCATGATTGTGTTAAATGACACCAGTGCTCCAGTTCAAATGCCAACGACCCCAGTATATTTGTTAACTGTGAATAATTGCTTGAAGTACAAACTTTGCTGCCAACTCATCAGTCCATAAATCACTATATAAATAACAGATGTGCATCATGATCATTGACCAATCACATCAGTTCTGTCAGTGACTGGTCACTCACTGTACATTGTTGTTGTTCAGTGCATGCACAGACAGCAAACTATGGAGCTATGTTACCTCCTTGTCTTCCAATAATAAATAGGCATGACATTTTACAAAAACGGCCATTATCCCACAAATATTAAAGAGAAACAAAGAAACAAACAGTGATAATGCAAGAAGTAAAATTCAAATCAAACGTAAATTAAGTTACAGAAGAAACAGCTGACTGTGGGAATGATGACAGTGCTGCTGTTCAACAGATTCTATGCAGCCAGAGAAAGATAGTGAAGGGAACTTATTGGCATTAATGAGAAAAGTGGTTACAGCATAAGGATGAAAGTGTCCCAGAAGAAGTGGCACCAGCAAAGGAACTCTTGGAGATTTCACAACATTGGATAAAACACTGAAGCTCATCCAAACCTAGAGTATGGTACTTCACCTACGCATGAAAAAGATATTCGCTCTGTATCCTATGTCATAGGATGAGAAGAGGACAAGCTCTGTTTAAGTTACTCTTAATATATATTTTTACAAAGAAATAAACCACTTTAATTCTCAATGTTTCTAATGTTTAAAATTAATGTACTACTCACTTTACTATTTTTTTCATTTCCCTATACTATTATAACTGACGAGTTTTCAATTGTTTGACAAATTTTGTTAAAAGTCCATCATAATCTTCCCATTGATTAAAACCACTTTGCACAGTTTCTGCTTGCACAATCGTTTTTACAGACTCTCACTATCAGACAAAGCAGGGACTGCCTGTATTATCTTACAAGCAAATGTACTTTAGGGATCTAATACTTTGTAGCCTCAATAGAGACTACCATCCCTTCTGCAAAGTGTTCTTTCTTTACACTCTATTCATGAAGTCCAAATGGAAACAAGAGCTTTTATCTCCTTAAGATTCTATCTCCCTCATTCAAGACTGGATTAAGAATGAACAAAACAGTAACAACAACAAAATAGGCCAATCATAGCATCTTCTTCCCTATCTACAGCTGACTGGTTCAGAGATGGACACCATCTGAGACAACCTAGGAGATAACAGGCATTTTAAACAGAGTGAATATTGCATGAACTAGGGTCCAACCAGTCTCGTTCATCTCATGACAACAGAAACATGAAGCTGTAATAAAACTGATAGCCCATAAGCAAGAAAGAGGAGTGAGAAGAGAATGAAGCCAGAATTCAGAGAGGAGAAAAAGCAAGGGGAAGAAAGTATTCGCAGTATTCCAAATCCTGCTTCCATGTGTCTATGGGGCCCAGCTACACGCGTTATTTCTGCACTTACAAAACCTTCCAATCTTGTCCTCTTTGTTAAACCTAGTGTGAGCTGAGTTTCCGTTATCTACCATCAAGAGTCCTTAGTAGTACCTAGGAGACAAGAAATTTAAGAAGCTTTTTAAGAATTTTCGAGAGTTTTAAGAAGGATATCATTAGATTAAACAACTGGAAGTCCACTCTGGCTGAAATATGGAAAATGGTCTAGACTGGAAACACACAGCCTAGTTAGAAAACTGTTGCAGTAAGCTGTGAGAGTCAGTGACGGCCTAAACTAGGGTAGAGACTTAAGAGATTTTAAAAAGTGAATTATTTTGAGAGACAATGGGAGTAAAAATTGAGAGGATTAAGTAGTTGATTAGATGTGAGCAGAAGGAGCTGTGTAGGAGGAGCTCATGCCTATAATCCTAACACACTGGAAGGCCAAAGAAGGCAGATCACTTGAAGTCAGGCGTTCAAGACCAGACCGGCCAACACGGTGAAACCCCATCTCTACTAAAAATACAAAGAAAACAAAAAGTAGCTGGGCATGGTGGCATACACCTGTAATCCCAGCTACTCAGAAGACTGAGGCAGACAATCACTTGAATGTGGGAGGTAGAGGCTGCAATAAGCAGAGATCACACCACTGTACTCCAGTGAGACTCCTTCTAAACCAATGAATGAATGAATGAATGATGTAAGGGGAAAGGAAAGATGAAAAATCAGTTCCCTTTGGACATGTTAAGCTTCAGATACTTTAAAACATGCTACACAGAAATGTTCCACAAGCACCTAAATATTGGGTAATATAAATATCTGGAGAGAATATGGGCTAAGGATAAAGGTTTAGGAATTATCAACATAAATATCACTGAAACCATAGGAGTAAATGACATGACCCAGGGAGAATCTACAGAGTTAAAGAAATGAGCATAAGGTATTTAAGAACTAGGCAGAGGAAATCTATAAAGGAATCAAGTAATTAGAAGAGTTGGAAAGAAAATCAGGGGTCAAGTCATAAAAACTGGCAAGGTAAAAAAATATATATGTGGACAACATGACCAAATATTTGTCAGAAGTAAAGTGGTCAACATAACCAAATATTTGTAAAATAAAGTGGTCAACATGACCAAATATTTGTAAAATAAAGAAAAAAATTGAGATGTGTTCATTAGTTTTCACAATAAAAGAGGCACTAATTAACTAGGCAAAAGCAATTTTAGAATGGCAAATGATTGACAATGGATTGAGGAGTGAGATGGAAGTGAGGAAGTGGAATTGATAAATGTGGATAATTGTCTTTCCAAATAAAAGAAGAGCTAACACAGTAACTGGAGGGGGACAATAAGTTAAGGTTTTTGGTAAAAACCTGATCACATTTGAATGGTGATATAGAAGAAAAGGAGGTAAGAGGAAAAGAAGTAGAAAAAAAGAAATAATTGAGTGAATAATATCTTATAGAAGATAGGTGTAGTTAGGATTCAGAACCTAAATGGAAGAAACAGTTATAAATGAGAGAGATGTCTCTTCCTCAGTACTACACAGGATGCATAGAAGGATGAATATGCACATTTGAGGATTTCGTAACAAGAATTAAATGCCATATAATGGCCTTTATATAAAACAGGAGATGCTTAGAGTAAATGACACAGGTGGCATGACAGAAGTTCTAGAAGACAGGAGAAGTTCTGACACAGTTGCCACATAGAAGGGAAGAGGGGGGTATTCTGGGGGACTGCTGGACATTACTGAGGCTGAAGACAACAAACTTTCAGTTGTGAGATCTTTTCCAGCAGCATTCAGTTTTCAGAACATGAATCTTTAAAAAAGCAAACAGCATCACCGATCCCAGATTTTGGTTTTGACAGGTGAGTATAATGGAAAGGATAGAGTTAAGGATACCGGAAATAGATTGCATGAAGTGACTGATGGAACAAGGTATCTTAGCTGGACTGACTCTAAACTGCATCACAAAGTAATAACAGAAGGGAACAACATATAGAAAGAGAGTCAGGAAATTGAAATGTCAAGAAGCAGGAACTGTGTGACTGACTAAATGAAAGATGCTGACACTGGCCAGTAACTGAGATTTTTGATTCTTAAGATTTCAGAGGCAGTCAGGTACAGTGGCTCAGGCCTGTAATCCTAGCACTTTGGGAGGCCCCGGCAGGTGAATCACCTGAGGTCAGGAGTTCAAGACCAGCCTGGCCAACATAGCAAAACCCCGTTTCTACTAAAAGTAAAAGAAAATTAGCTAGGCATGGTGGTGTGTGCCTGTAATCCCAGCTACCCGGGAGGCTGAGGCAGGAGAATCACTCAAACCCAGGAGGCGGAGGTTGCAGTAAGCCAAGATCATGCCATTGCACTCCAGCCTGGGCGACAGAGTGGGTCTCCGTCTAAAAAAAAAAAATTCAGAGGTAAGCAGCTGGCATGCCACATACTCATCGATGGCCTGACCATCATCACCCGTGACCAACCCCAATGAGGACAAGAGCCAGGTGTTGGCCATGGGCAAGAAAAATATCTATTCACTACAGAGATAACTGAAATGACAGCCAAGCAAAAAGCAAAAATAAGTAAACAAAAGAATGATAAGAAGAGAGGTAGAGCAAGATAGCCAAATAAAAGCCTCTGGTGGCCGGGTGCGGTGGCTCACGCCTGT